CAAATCAGAACCAGGTGTAAACTTAAAGCTAGATGAAACTCCATGACAAATTTCCATGCTCCTGTGTACCCTTGAAACCAAACAAGGTAAAGCCTAATTATCATCAAGGCATGTATTAGCTATTTTAGGAATTATTTTCTTCCTAAGAATGATTAAACAATGCAGAAAATAAGGGAAAAGAAAAGTTACTTTATGTACAAACATAAATAACTTACTGGGTGGTCCACATTTCATACTGTGAATTCTCCTGTCCCAGGACAAGGACATTGCTGTAGGTGAAGTGTTATAAACTGCCATTCCAGACTCCTTTCAGAAAGAACAAAGAAATCAGCAGCTATAAACAAAACACCTAAAAATCACCTCTGTCTGTCAGTAAATTCACCATTTTCAGTAAGACTATTGCTTTGTATTGGCTTTCTATTAAGTTCTCAAAAAGCACCATTGTAAAGTAAAAAAGTACACTCTAATGCCGATGCTTTTTCTTCTTCTTTCCTCCTAAACCGTACCCCTTACTGAAGATTTCCGCTCAGTAGGCTAGCCCAGAAAGAAACAAAAAGTTAATTTCTATATTCTGAATTCTTGGTGGGAGAACCTAAATCCAGGAGCATTCAGTATTATTGGTGGTTGATTTGGTTACTTGTTTGCAGTTTTGTGACACTTTTTCTTGCTGAGCTTTTCCCAGAAAGAGCAGGGAGGAAGCAGAGAGAAAGGTGACTCCCTCTGAGGAGCCGGGGACAAGGGCTACAAAGCAATCCTGCCTTTTCCCACCCTCGAACAAGGGAGCGGGAACCACACACCCTAATTACATTTCAGCAACGTGCCATGAGCGACACAGCTGAGTTGCCAAGACAAACCACATCCAAAACCCTGAGTGCTGAGCTCCAGTGACCCGATACTGCCAGCTCGTTTACCTCTACCGAGAGGCAGAAAGGCTCCCACAAAGCAATTGTTGACCTCAGACCCCAGCTTTTCCTCGAGCAAGGACACTGTACAGCACATAACTTCTTGAACAAGCTGAAGCTCTAGATACAATCACAGAGCTTTTCTCACTCTTCTAACACTAAAGTTGCATTCAGGATTGAGAGTCCTTGGGGCTGGGATAAAATACACACTCGAAGGCAAATCCTGAAGAATTACCAAGGGTGAAACAGCCACCGAAAATACAGATGGTATCACAGCAATATACAGGTATATTATTGAGGAGCACATTATCCTGACGCCAACCAGAACACGCAGCCCTCTGTCCCTCACCGCCAGCCCCCTCAGAGGGATCTCCCTAGGCAGCAGCGCTGAAAACCCGGCACCACCTGGATTTATAAACCCACAAGCCCTGGATGCAGTGTGGTGGATGCTCTCTTTCCGAGGCCTGCCTGGTGGGAAGCTGCCCATCCCAGCGGCCCGGTGTCCCCTGTGAGGTGCAGTGGTGCCCGGTCCCGCGGTACGCGGCCGCATCCTCACCTGCACCGCCGCGGCCAGGCCGCCCCCGCTCCGGGCTCCCGCGGCGCTGCCTCGGCTGAGGGGGAGAAAAGAGCAGGTTTGGCTCGGTCCGGGCAGCGCAGTACCCACCCAGCCCGGAGAGCCCCCGCCGTGCCCGGGCCAGCTCTTACCTGGGGAGCGGCAGGTTCCCATCGGCCGGGAGCTGCGCCCGGGCAGCCCACGGAGACAGAGCTGGAAGGCAAGGGCGGCAGGTTAGCGATGGCCGGACTGCCCTGGCCGCCCTCCCATAACCGTGCCGTGCTATGCTATGCTATGCCACGCTATCCCATCCCATGCCATGCCGTGGCCGGCGGGATGCTCACCTGAGGACAGCCAGGCGCCCAGCAGCGCTCCAAGGAGGAGCCGGGTCTCCATGCGGGCAGCAGCAACTTCCCGCGAAGCTCCAGCCGCTACCTGCGCCCTGAGCTCATCCCGCCCGGGCGGGCGGGGTGGCCAGGGGGTTTATCCGCCCCCGGCCCGGCCCTGCCCCGGCACCCGCCCCGGACACCGCCCCTCGCTCCGCAGCAGGTCCAGTCCGGCCATCGCCGCTCCCGCTGTGCCCAGCGCTCAGCTCGCCGCCTCCGCGCATTCGCTTCCATTTGTCCGCTCTCTGGGCTTTTGGGAGCTCCGTGTGCCGGTGTCCTGGCAGCAGCAGCAGCTGGGAGCGCCGCTCTAAGCGCCCACTCCGGGGCCGGCGGAGCCGGGGCTGCTCCCGCAGCTCCTGCGTATGAATGGGCACTGACCGAGCGCTCAGCGCCTGCCCGGCGCGGCAAATCTTGTCCGTGTTCAGCACGGAGCAGCGGCCCCAGTGAAAGAGGTGTCAGGGCTTGAATAGCGAGGGCATAAGTGAGACACACACTGAATGCAGCATACAGCTAACGTAGGGATGGTGTCCATAGCTTCTGATAACCTTTTAATTTACTATAAATTCACACTCTGGAACTCTCTTTGAAGCCTTTTCCATGTTTATTCCTCCTCTTTTTTCTTTCCTTATTTCACCCTTTATGATTAAATTTGCTTCCTTCTATTATGTTTTTTCCCCCTTCTCTCCTCCTATTTCTGTTACCTTTGCTGTTATTTTCCCTTTCCCATCTGCTGCTGTCTCTCTCCCCATCATTCTTCAGGTTTGCATATCTTATGACAGAAGCTTTAGAAGCTGCCCATACCAGGTGAGAAACTGTCTCAGATAAAAAGGGGCCTTTTCTGACTGCTTTGGGAAGTCTGTTAACAGTAAGTCATTAAAAAGATCTCTTTTCTGCCTTTGTAATTTGTCCCTGTGGATTGTGTTTCATTTCTAATGAAATGATGGAAAACTAGTGATGTTTTCACTGAGAATTCTGTTCCCTCCTGTAAGTGTTGGAGGGAGAATGTGCTTGAGAGAAAAAAACCGTGAGGAATAAAAGATATCCCTTAACTTTGACACAGCCTTTTCCAAATAACCCCAAACAAATTTTTAGAACTATGTGCAAGCCTCAGCCTATATCTGCTCTGAGGGCAGCAAGTGCTTGGCTTTGGTGCACTTTCACTGATCCAAGTTACATTAATGGAAGTAGAGAAAGCAGATAAAAGCAACAGGGATCAGGTTACACAACACACACTTTAATGTATTTCTTTGCCTACTAAATGAGCTGCTCACTTTGTTCATTTTCTCTTTGCGCCACAAGTAGCAAACAAGAATCGAAGGTAATTTAGAACCAATTTAGATGCAATTCGATTTCTTGCTAGGAAAGATTTCATTATCTAAAAATATTAAACAGTCATAATTACACCATTTTTTAATATATGGTGCATTTGAAGCAATGAAAACTTCAGAACCATCTCATAAATTAACTGGTTTACTTCCAGTTTTGGAGCATGAGTTAGCTTTGTGGATTTGTTTTCTTTGTATTTACACACAGTAGAGCACAGGAATTCATGTAACAGCAGACTAACAGCCCACCAAGTTTGTCATCCTTCCTGCACTGTGTCCTTTACACGATGATTCGGAGCAACTTGCACATCACCAAGTGAAGTCAATTTCACAATTCTTTACTACATGGAGGAGGAGTTTCTGACTCTTGGGAAGTTTATCTGTATTATAAAAGCCAGTTACTTTCTTTCAAATGTACATAGCTTTGAGCTTGGATAAGATCTATTCCTGTAAAGCCTTCTAGAAATGATTGATAGATATCAATGATTGTTCTAGACTATAAGTAAATTTAAAGGCTCGACATGCATGGGTTATAATGCGTGCTTAAAAAATTTTGTTTTCTTCTTTCTCTTTTCAAATACAGGATAGTTTTGTTTTGCATGTGCATGGCAGAAATTCTGTATCTCTGTGTTTAATTCCATATCTGTGTGGAGAAACTAGCTTTTTGGTATTGTGTGGTGCTGGAACCTGGGTAAAAGTGATTTATGTATTAATAGCTGCAATTTTAAGAGCAAATTGGTTTCTGAAAACAACTGTATTTTTCTATTTTTCTGTATACAGGCTTAATATGCACTCCTCTCGTATTCCTGACACCTGATATGATAAATGGGTAGTGTACATACGGCTGAAATGTTCCAACATAGCAAAACCATCTGAAAAGGCTAAGAGCAATTTCTAATGAGCCAATAAAGCTTACAAAAGTTATCTCATAGAAATAATAAAATAGAACACATGGGCGTTTATGGCAGTGTGGATTTTTTTTTTAAATCACGCTTTTATATGTATTCATACAAGTTTCCAGTCGGCTGGAAGGAAGAGAGGTTAAGCTATCTGTCCTTAGGTAAACTCTGCTCTCTCTGGAGTTATGTGGTTAAAGGTGATTCTGCGAGGAGACCAAGAGACTTGGGTGAGCAGGTGTCTTCCACTCACTGCCTCCTGATTGAGGAAATCTATGATCTTGAACCACAGCAGGGAAAGTGGGAGAAGAACCAGCAAGACAAAAAAGTATGAAAGAGATTAGTCCAAAATAGATTCCTCTTCAGGTGCTCTGAGCTTGATTCTTGTGCAGTTACTCACAGCAGCCACGTCAGAGGCTGTATTTGTAAGCAACAACATTGTGGGAAAGGCTGGGGGAAGTCTGATCTAGACAATGATGCATTAGCTTCACTCTGCTTACCTAAAAACAAAGAAGTTGAGATTATTTGCCGTACAACAATTTATTGAAGCAGGTTTTTTCTGCTTGTTTGGGCCTAGATTGTTTTTTATTTGATTGTTTTGCTTTTAACCCGGGTGTTAATATGCTTTAAAGTTCACATATTCGTGCTTTCCTTAACTATTAGAGTTACTGACATGCATGCATACCTACAAATAGAGGAGAGAAATTGGTATGGGAGCTAAATGCCCTTGTAGCACACCGCGGGGCAGGGGCCGTGTATGGATGCATGTTTATTTTGGTTTTACTTTCTCGGCCGTTCCGGCAAGCCCAGAGCGGGTAGCGGCGCCCGGCTGCCCGTGCCCTGCGGTCTCGGGGATGCCGGAGGCGGGCGCGCCTCTCACCGCCCCGGGGCGCGGCCTCGCCCGCGCAGCCGCCCCGCGCAGCGCCCGCACCCGCGCAGCGCCCGCACCGCTCCCGCAGCCGCAGCCGCGCCATGGAGCGCCGCGTCGCCCGCGAGTTCCGGCACAAGGTGAGGCGGCGGAGCCGGCCGGGGCACGGAGGCTGCGGGCGGCACGGCTCCCCCGGCCGGGCACGGAGGCTGCGGGCGGCACGGCTCCCCCGGCCGGGCACGGCTGTGCCCCGGTGAGCCGCGAGGAGGGAGGGAGGGAGACGCTCGGGGACTTTGCACTGCCCTGACACCGGCGCGGGTGGCAGCCTCCGGGGACGGGATGGGTTAAAGACCTTAGAAAGAGAGAGAGAGAAGAGTAGCCTTCCCCAATGTACCAGCTTTTTCAGGGCTTGGAGCAGTTTGCTTTGTGTTTAGTGCCCCGTTGGAGCCGGTGCCGGCTCCAGGCGCCCCCGGCGCCCGCTCAGCCCTGCGCGCCCCCGGCGGGGCTCGGCCCGCGCCGGTTCCACCTTAACGTTCCCCGGCGCGGTTGTGCGCTCATGGGCAAACGCGCTTGATACACGGAGCCGCTCGGCTGCCTGGCGTTTTGTCGTTTTGTCATTTATCCGGTTAAATAGGTGCTCGGCAGAGCGCAAAATTGTATGAGCGAAGAATGCTCAGAAAGCTCTAATTAAGGAAAGGAGGAGGAAAATAGTTTGCATGTGTAAAAGATGTTTTTGCCAAGCCGCTTAGGACTCTCTCAGATTAAGGTTTTCTGTAATGCTCTGTGGGGATCGTTTTGTTTTGTGAAGAAAGTTGTGGTTGGTTTGGTTTTTTCTGGTTTTTTTTTTGTTTTTTTTGTTTTTTTGTTTTTTTGGGTTTTTTTTTGTTTTATCAGCTAGGACACGCAATTTCCACAAAGCAATGTAATGTTTTATAGAAGTGTCTGCCACTTGGTAATAAACACATTAACCAAAGGATTGTTAGGATGAATTAGAGGAAGTGCAAAAAAACCTTCTATATGTCAAATTGGAGTCCAAGAACATTAAGGACCTGGATAGTCAATCATGATGACTGTAGACATCGAGCACATTGTTTCTGCCTTGCTCCCTATTACTGTATAACTCAGCAGTGGGTTGTGCAACGTTTCTGGAAAGACTCTTGTTTCTAGGAGGGTGTCGTGAACTTTAAACCTTCTCCCTTTCATTGCTGCTATAATTCATAAATCATTCAAGCCCCACCCCTGACAACGTGAGATGTATTGTCAGTGTTGCTGCAAACAGCTGGGATGCAGGTATCAGTGACAGCTTTATCAGAGCTAGAAGACATTGAAATAGGTATTTTCTTTTTTTTCATTTTGCATCATCCTGCTTCTAGTGACCTCTGCAGCACCCAGTCTTGGATGCTTACTTTTTCTGTGACATACCAGTGAAGATGCTCACTACAAGATCTAAATTTTCTCAGTTAATGGCAGTTATCTTAGTTAACTTTTTTTTTCTTAGTTTCTTTTTTCTTAGCAAATTTATTCAGTTGCCTTGTCAACCAAGCAGCAATGTAAAATATGTTATATATCCGAACCAGTTTTTCCCTTTCCTTCAATAGTTTTCCAAAATCTGGCTAGCTTAAACAGGACTTCATACTCTTCTTTGAAATCTGGCAGATTGGAATAGTGCTAACATATTGAATTATTGTCATCTGAACTTTTTCCACACCAAAAAAAGTGTTTTTTCCTCCCCACAGCTTCTATTCCACTGAATAAACTTAGGTAGACTTCTTGACAGACTTCATTTTTTTATGTATGTAGGTGCAGATTGTGTGATGACTTTTTATTCATTTCTGTAGGGGGATAGAATGTAAGAAAATAGTGTAGAAAGTAATCTTACCCCTAAGGAGTTGCAGCTGGGCCAATTAGCAAAGATTAGGAACAGGCCTGGCTTTACCAGGCCACAGCTGTAACCAGTGAGAAGAAGATGTTCTAAAAGAGTTGGGTGGGTGAGAGGGGAGCTGGGTTGGGTTGGGGGTCAGTGGCTGCTTTGTGAAGGAGAAGGAGTCAGTGCTCTGAGGAGCTGCCCACGAGAAAACACCCAGAAGGTGTGGAACTTTTGCCATTAGGAGACAATAGTATGGAAATCCTACAATAAGATGACAACAAATTTCTATGAAAAACAGTGCAGTGTACATAGTGAGAAATGGAGCATAATCAACTCTGTATTCTAGAATTATCAATGATACAACTACTATGAAGACTCTTTAAATAATCACTGAGGGTGGAAGAGACACCTAGAGGCTGTCTGCCCCAGCCCTATGCTCAGGGCCATCAAGAGCCTATTGTCCAGGGCTGTGCCCAGAGGGTTTTTCTAAAATATCCTTGGTTTAAAATGTGTGAAATCTCCTATCCCATGACTCTACAGTAATTTTCTTGAGAAATAGATCCTAAAATATTTCTGTGATCCAGGTTAAACCATGTCACTGCTAATTTATTTTTTTATATAGTGGAGGGATGATATTTTAGAATTTATGAAATTAGAGCCAGTTTTTAGAAGCTGATGATAAGTCCAGGTAAAGCATATGTTTCCAGTAAGATTTAACCTCAAGGAGTTAAAGAATTAGGAAAATGGCATGAAATGCAGGTGGCTATGATGCAGTGATAATTGATGGAAGAGAAGGCAGCAGGAAGAGAATGACCTATTAGTAGGAGTGGCGCAGGATTATTAACCCAGCTGTAGCATTCTGAATATATTAGAAATCACCGGGTGTTGGGTTTGCTCAGATGAGAAGGAAGTTGTTGGTGTAGGATGAGAAGTGCAGGAGTCAAACAGACTGAATATTTTGTTAGAAGAAATAGCAGAATTTAGATATAGTCCTCCATTTTCTGAGAGGAAATGAGGATGCATCTACCAGCAATCATTTTAGGAGAAAAATTGAATGTTTTTAATCTTTGCTTTCTCTGTCAGAAAAAAGAGATGATGATGGTTTTGCCCTTTGCTGAGTAGGATTAATAAACATTTAATGTTCTTTGTGAGGCACTGCTCATACAGTATCTTAGCTGGCATTGGGAATTGAGCTCTGTACTTTACCTGTTAGGGAAGTGAAAAATGGATGCTGGAATTAGTTTTACCTTGAGTTTTACTTTCACAATTAGCCTTGCCTCAAGTCTGTGCAGAGTATTGCTGAAGTTTTGATTGCAAACATTTTATTTCCTTTTAAGACAGATTGTATGCGATGTGTGCCAAAATTCACTGTGAATAAATGGTATTCACTGGTATAACTGTAAAGCAATCTTGACCTGCATGTAGCTTTCTGGCCTTTAGGTGTTTTGGAAGTGTCTTTTTCCAGAGGAGACAAGTAACAGAAAACCACCTGAATACGAAGTCTTGCTGGCTTTAGAGAGCCAGGAGGTACAAGTAATAGAAAACCACTGGTATGTGAAGACTTGCTGGCTTTAGAGAGCCAAGTGGGACAAAAGGAATATGAAGCATGTATTTAGTTTAGAACATAATACAAACTACTGCAAACCTGGAAAGAAAGGGCCTTTGTTTAAGTATGCAAATTGCTTCTCAGTCTTCACGTCACAGTAATATTACCCTTTAGGTCAGATGTAAATTGCTTTCCTAAACATCAGGCTTGTCCAGATGTAAAACTGATGTGATGTGACCTCTCACTACAATCAGGATTAGTGGAGGTCTCACTATCACTGAATATAAATTGAACTCCTCATGTAAGAATTTGGGTTTGGTTTTCTTTTGCTTCAATTTACTGTCATTATCCAAGAGCGGGCATAGTAATATGACACTGGTTTAAGTAAAGGTACTATTAGTGGGGGAGGAAAGAATAACTAGCAAGTTCTATCAGTTAAGAGCTGGAGCAGAGATGAACAGAGGTGTAGCAGTTTGCATAATGCTATAAGTGAGCTCCTGAAATCGGTGGTTTGGACGACAGCACAGAGATTGTATCTCAACGCGGTGGTTTTATCTGTGACAGCATGTGCTACATTAATGAGTGGCCAAAAAGGTTTCTGAAGACATTTATTCAGCAGTTCAGTGATTATCAGGTAAGACAAATATGATATTACTGTAGTAATACTACTGCTGAGGGGAAATCTAGCATACAGAGTATATCAGGATTCACCACCTTGTCTAATTGTTGTCATACTAATTTTAGATAGTCTCATTGTAAGTGTGACACTGTGAGGTAATGCTCTGTTGCAAACATATATTTATCTTTAAAAAATTCTTTTTCCTTAATGGAACTTTTACTCTGTGGCTTAAGAATCTGTGGAAGTCTCTCATGTTCAGCATTTGGGCTATTAAGTCAGAGATTAATGATAGTGTCCTTGGGTTTTCAGGTCAATCTATTAATTGACAATGAAGCGGAGAAGGATTACCTTTATGACGTGCTGCGGATGTACCACCAGTAAGATCTAGCTTTATACATCTTGGTGTGAAATTTTACTAATGTTTTTATATTTCAAGAATTAATATTCACAGTTATTTAAATAGTCTATGTGCTACTAGAAAAGTAATTGAAATGAGAGGTTTTTATCTTGTTTAATGAAATCTTGTGGTTTTGAAGCATAACCTGCAGGCAAAGAAGCAGCATGTCTGTAATCACTTATAAAGTTACTTGGGTTTTATGACTTGGCAGTTTTTTATAAGAGTTTGGTAGATTCATATCTGGGGCTGTGTGGGGGGAGGCTCCTGCATGATAAAGCTGTTCTTAGAAACAGGAAGAGAGCACTAATAATGTTCATTAATATTTCCAAAGAGTGCTTATTTGTTTGATACAAATTTTTTCGCTGACATCACTTTTCAAAGATTTTTTGCTAACTCTTCAGATCAAAATTTTGCAACTGTCCTTTGCAAAGCTGGAAAAATATACTCTCGGAATTTGTTTGGCATGTTTAATGACTCTGGCTTATTACAACACAATGGTAAAAAATTGGAAAGGTGATAGGCCTGTTACTAAGCCTTTTGCTGAACTGATTTAAACCACAGTTGCCTCAGACTTGTTTAGTTGCAAATTACATCAGCCCATGATCCATTGTTTTTCAGAGAAGATAAGAATATATTTTCCACTGATCATAGGCAAGTGGCTCTTAAAGACATTGTTTCCATTCATATTGTAATTAAAAGCTTCTCAGCTGAGTGAAATGTATAAGTTTCCATCTGATGTTTGTAGTTATGGGGGTATTCAGCTGCATATCTGATTCAGTTTCACTCTGGTCTGTCTAATTGCTTTTTCATTCATAAAGATTGTTGTTTGGAAAGCCAGTTGGTTCAGCAGGTCTGAATTATTTAAAATCTTCTTACAGTTACAAAATTAACAATGCATACGGCAACTTTTCTTCAATTTCCACAACTGCAATGTCTTGGGCAAAATTTTCAATATCTCTGTGAACATATAATGATGATGTATCACTTCCTGGGAATACATGATGAAATATCCCAAAGCAAAAATATGTGCATTTGCTGTTGGAGTTAGCATTTTATTTCTGCTTCACTGTGAATAGTACTTCCAGAAGTATTTGACCTCTAATTCTGCATAGGTATTCCTGATCTGTATTTTCAGTGCCCATACCTCAGAAATATTGCATCCCAGGAAACGTAAATTTAAAGAAAGGGAACAGTAAATAATACAGGAAAAGTTTAACTGAATATTTTATAGGAATAGCTCTGTTGAACCTTAGCTGTTCCTCCATTCCTGCAGTTGTACAACAAAGTATATTTTGTACATAATAACCATCTCAGTGCTGATGATTTCAAGGAGACCACTTTGCTTAGCTCTCATGAGAGAGATGTTTACAACAGTTTAACTTCTGTAGGTTTTGTGGATTAGTTAATCATCCTTCAAATTTGATTTTGATCAAAATCTGGAACTTAAAGTGTTTGCTCTAGCTGCTGAATATTGGGATAGTTTTTTTGTCCTGGATTGAAACAATTTGTCAGTACTCTTAAGTTCAGGGAAGGAGAGAGCTTGTAGCCTATATTTACTTACAAGGATCCCTAACTAATGGAGAAACAAAAATCCATTAGGCAGGTGGGTCTAATCTGTAAAGTTATTTTCAAATGGTTCCATAAATCTTGTAGGTACTCTGAGACTGAAGTTGGAGATGCCGTCTATGAATGTGATGTGCATGACCTTAAAATATTAAGTGAATGTATAGACGACTTCACATGTTTTGAAGCAAATGTTCTTTATTTACAGAAGGTCTCCTTTCTCAGGGGTTAGTGTGCTTTCATCAAACCAGTATCTGCATAAATATCTCTTTTGGTAGCTTGAAAGGACATGCAAATATTGAAGCCATGTGCACAACAACTTATAAAATGAAACTTGTTGTTGGTGTGTTGTTTACCTGTGTTTGTTTTGTCACTGTGTTTTTGCAGGTCTATGAATCTCCCAGTGCTTGTGGGGGACCTAAAACTGGTGATTAATGAGCCAAGCAGGCTGCCTCTGTTCGATGCTATCCGCCCACTCATCCCATTAAAGCACCAGGTGGAATATGATCAGCTTACACCCAAACGATCACGGTGAGACAATGCAGAACAGCAACAAAACAATGCAGTTAACTTAAATAAAAAACAAGAAATACTGAGTTTACTGAGGTAAATTCAGAGTAAAATATTGTCCATCTGTGTAGATTTGGGCATAGTTATTTTACTTTAGCTGTATTTGCTAGAAGTACAGCTACATGTACTGTAACTAAATTGTTTGGCAAGCTACCTGTACTGTACCTAAATTACCTGCTAACTATCTGTACTGTACCTAAATTGTTTGCCAAGTGGTTTAATCTAGTAACAGCAAAGCAAGGGAGTCAAAACCAATATTTTCTCATTTTTCTTGAATTTCATAATAGAAAAATCTCATCGCTCTAACCTTCTAAAAGCAGTTTCAGTGATTGCAAATATCTTTTCATATGAATAAACTTGATAGTTTAGCTAACACACATCCATCCAAACTTCAGTGAACTTGCTTTTTATGCCTAAATTATATAAGTGAAAAATAATGTCTAACTTGCATATGAAACATTATTGAGACAAGGTGTTATGCAGCTGAACACTCAAGTGTGTTCCATTTTTGCAGAAAGCTGAAAGAGGTGAGATTGGATCGATTGGATCCTGAAGGGCTCGGATTAAGTGTAAGAGGTGGAGTGGAATTCAGCTGTGGCCTCTTCATCTCCCAGTTGGTTAAAGGAGGGCAGGCAGACAATGCTGGACTTCAGGTAAGATATTTCTATTCATGTTAGGTGCTAATGGTTGTTCTTTAACATTCAGAAGTTGATTTTGCCAAGATGCTCTTTGTCACTTCAAATCGAATTCCTACATGTAAAGTAATGCCATGGTAAATACCATTATACCAGCGGTGAATCAAGTCATTAAAAATGTTTATTTTGCTGTTCTTAATTATATGTAAGCCTTCTTTTTTTCTTGTTTGGGATATGCTAATTTTTGAAGGCTTAAAGTTTTCCTGGAATGCTTATACTTCATGAGTAGCAACAGTTATGTGTAAGCAGAGGGAAAGAAGGATTTCTAGACTGTAGAAGAATGCTTTAAGTTCCTAAGTTTTGATTAAATGTAGAACAGAACATATAAATGCTAAGCGTTAATTCCATCTTGCATAGATATCATTTGTGTAATGAAATATTTACTTGAACTTTATGTATAGATTTTGGGGGTTTTGGTTTATGCAATAAAATAACTTATTTTTTACTATTCCCAGTATCCTCTTTACTGCATAGAATTGCACTTTCTGTGATTGAATTTTGGATACGTGAAGTTGCCAACAAGATATGCAAAAATAATTCTGTGTAGAAACACTGCAATGCTCGTGTAATTTGCATTAATAATGTTTTGGGTCTCTGTTTTCTTTTTGAATGTGGCATTGCTTAGTGAAGAGAGAAATAAGAAATTGCAATAAGAAATAAGTGGCAAATGTCTGCATCTTTCTATCAGACATTGAATCTGATAAGGTGTACTAAAGGTCTGAATTTCTGACTGGAAAGGCTAATATATATAATATGCCTGGCTACTTTTAATTTGTCAAGTCTGAATATCTACTGCAAGTATTGATGGCTAAGCATTGTGTTTAACACTAGTCCAAAATATATTAGACTAGTATGATTCATTATTGTAATTAAGTTTAATTAAACTAGCATTTTTTTTTTAGATATGCTTCAGTATTACCTCACAAATCTCTTGGATGAAAAAAATAAATATCTATCAACAAAGCAGATGAAGTTAGGTTTCCCTGTTTATGTCACTCATGCCGAAAACTTTCTAGAATTTAAACTGTTCCTCTTTCTGTTTCATGTATGTGCATGCCCTTCTGTTTGTGCATTCATACCTATATATCTCATCCAGAATTGCCTTTGAATTGGTTCCACCTTCTGTCAGCCTGCTCTGCACAGGTGCATCCAGGGGGATGCTTTACAAACTACTTGGGACAAAACCGCGAGTTCTGTGTGTTGTTAGAACTGAGAGGGTGTTGTAGCTCAGCACAAACCTTGTTCTCTGTCCTCAGCCTAATTTAAGCATGGGATTTGCCAATGGGCAACTGCAGAAAAGGACATTGATGCACCCTCTGTTTGCACTACAAAAGGTCATGTACCTCATCTTCTGTATTACACAGCAAGAATGTGAAGTGTAGACAAGGGAGTTGTTCCTGGGCTGTGGTGAGCTCAGTAGGAGAGATTCCCTCTGCTTCCTTGCTCGACTGCTAGAAACTTGAGAAAAAGATCAAGACCAGTCCCTTATTTGGCTTTTGTAGACATCTTCTGGAAAATATTGGGAGGCACTAATGATGCTGATCAATAAAGGACTTACTAGCCACTGCCTTAAATACATTCTAATACTTTGGTGTTAAGGCTGTGTTGCAGCTCTGCATCTCTGCTTCTTTCACAGTAACATTTTGACACAATCACTGCATAAGGAGTGATGTTCAGCTGTTGTGCTCTTATTAGGATGTCAGTTTTCCTGCTTTCTCTGTACACAAAAAGGCCCCTTGGCTTTCTGTGACCAGGGTCATTGTTGGACATGTTGGTGTCAGTCAGGGGTTTGTAAAGGATCTTTGGGCTGGAGTGTGCGAACTCTCTTGCAAATCAGAACATTGTTAGGGTTTAGCTGACAAAGTAGGGACAGTAAGGGGGAAGAATGCTTCACACTGACTCTGAACTTGTTAGGGATTAATGAATTCATATGGGCAGATGGTGCTTTGCAGCTCCTGTAACTGCCTGGCTTCTGGTTTTTGATACGTGGTGTTAAAGCTCAGCCTGAAGTCCCTGGATAATAGGTGGCACTAGGCACTTTCTGAACCTCACTGAATAACAAGACCTGACAGGCAGCCCATTGTTCTAAATTGCTGTCTCTCAGTAAAGCCAACTGCTTCTGAAATTTCACCCACCTGATTTATTTAACAAAATCTCTACACATTTTCAATCCCAAAAATGCAGTCTGAGAAAGGTATAATGATTTTCTGTTATACCATCAATTTTACATCCTGCAGCTTTTAAAATTTCCGGTTCAAATTGTGTGTTTTTCCTTGAGGTACTTTCCAAGTTACATTAAAATGACCAAATAATAATGAAAGTTCTCTGTGATACTTGTAGGTTTGACCCTTTTATGACTACAGTTTCTCTAAAAGGCACAAGTGTTTTGTCCTTCCATTAAGGAATGGACTTCATCTCTCCCCCCACCACCCCTCACTGCTTTTTGATACTTGTATGTGAGGATTCTGCTGAATACAAAGAGATTGGGTGAATGATGAAAGTGGTAGCAGTATACAAAATGGGAAATTTGAAACGGTTGATGTTATTATATGAAGCCCTTCCATTTTCTAGAAGCACTAAATATTATATTTCTCATGTTAAAAGTTAGAAATAATAGTCATTTTACTTGAGAAAAAGTTAGGTTTGCATCTTTTTTCTAAAGTCTGTCATCTCTTGGTTGGATAGGGAAAGGGGAAACGGTGATATAATACCAAAATAATTGTTACTGTTCTACTCTGCTCATTCCCACAGACTTTTATCTCTACAGCTCTGATTCATTAGCATGGTATACAGTGATACCTGTACAAAAGTAACAAAATACATGAAAACAGCTATTAATTACTCCAATATTAGATACCATTGTTCAGGAAAAGCTGATCAAGTATCCTGAAGAGAAGCAGTTTGCTGTATGTCTATAGGTCTTCTGTAGTTCAGCCTAGATTGGGTTATTTGTAAAGCAACCTCAGTCATTGTCTGTCAGCAATACAAATGTCATTACGTTGAGTGAAGGGTGTTGAGTTTGAGAAATAAGATGACAGTCCAGTAGAGGAGAGTATTAAAAATACCTGTATGGGAAAAGCTTATTCCCATACTGGGGGGAAAATAAAATATGCTCTTGTGTGCATTTATAATTTTGCAAGTGCTTCTTGGGGAGATGAGAATAGATTTGATTCAGTGAATGCTGATATCCTCAGAACGATGTGAGTTCTGCTGGTGCAGAAACCCCAGGATGGCACTGTCATTTGCAGCCCTGAAACTGGGGGTTTCTGTGTGTTAAGGCATTGCAGCCAATAACAGGATGAGAGGTTACCCTTTTAAAGAGTCAGGTTTGTGCAAACCCAGGCTCCATGCTCTGTTAGACTCTGCATGATGTGGAAGATGTGAGTAAAGGGGGGATCTTGAACTAAAAGAAAACCAAACAAAAAGCCCACCCGCCCCCTTTACTACATATGTGAAATCACCAGAAGATGGATAGGGTGGATGGATGTGGTTTGGAATGTTTGGAACTGTTAGTCGGTTAAGCGAGTGACGGCAGGAGCTGTCAGGGATGTAGCTGTAAACTGCAGACCTCATGTGCTCTTCTTGTCTGATTCTGTATTTTACCACAGGTTGTATGTTCAAAGGCCTTAATTACTGACCTATTTCTGCTGTTACTAAAGATAATTTTAAAAATCTGACTGTCAAGCTCTTAGGAGTGCAGGCCATTGCCCTGGATGAGATTTTTTTGGATGCCCAGCAGAGGGAGTGGATGTCCCACTGGTCAGGAGCTAGGGACCACGGTCCTGCTTTGCCTCTGAGTGTGTGTTCCTTTCTGCAGGACAGTTTTCTTTGCTTTCGTAGCCTTCTGATGCTGTGTTGTGTCAGACAAAAATCCTCAGCTTCAGTAGAAAGTGGGACCATGAGCAATGCTGGTGTAGTGGACATGTTAATGTTTTGTGTAGTGTTGCAGAGCATGAGACACTTCCCAGAAGAAATAAAAAGATACATTTTCGGATTTTTGTTTGTGATTTGGTTTTTTGGGGTTTTTTTTTTTTNAGAGCATGAGACACTTCCCAGAAGAAATAAAAAGATACATTTTCGGATTTTTGTTTGTGATTTGGTTTTTTGGGGTTTTTTTTTTTTGGTTTTTTTTTTTTTTTTTTTTATTTGCCAGATCACAGTAGGAAGATTCAAGGAATCATTACAATATGAAAAAAGGCAGAAGGTGATAGCAACCCTAATATCCTGTCACACAATGTCGTGTCTTTTTGTGTGTTAAAGTCTCTAGAACACAGGCTATGTTGAGGAATTTCTACTTCCAATTCCACTCAGTCCTCTCATATAAAAGGAAAGCACAGAGCCTCTCTTAAAGTAATTGTAGAAGTTTTTTTAAATGAGCTTGATAATGCATTCCACCTAAGTTTTCTTGAATACTTAGCTTTGCTGAAAACTGAAATCAGCCTAATGCAGATACCAGCATGGAAAGCTTAAGCCTAAAGTGAACTTTGGAAGCTTGACGCTTGAGTCTTTAAATGGAACATTTTTGGTAATCATTAACTAGGGATAATGCTGCCATGAAACTAGACACATTTGTGAGGAGGCACCCAAAGTTTCATTGACTGAGAATAAAGTCCCATGCTGTTGGTGTTAATGAGAAAAGTCTCATCAAATACATTTTTCATAAAAAATATTCACAATAGTTGAGGGGAAATGCTTCTAGAAAGGACCCAAAGTATTTGGCTTTGTCCACGTGGAGATCAGAGGTATAAGATGATATGGTGGATGGTTTAAGGTAATTTCATGGTAATCATTTGTATATTTTACTGTGCAGTGGATTGATCTGCATTGATAATGAAAGAAATCATGCACTAATTTTCATACAGCCACATCACGTGGTTCACATCAAGTAAAAGTTTTTGTTTATGGTGCTCCTGCCGGGACTTGGAATTTTTCATTGTAATCTTGGGCAGATAATAAGGCACTACCTAAAATGAAGTAGGCAATGCCTTCATCACTGATTCCTCCTCAGCCTGGCTGGGTAAGAGGATCATTGGGCAGAGTTCATAAAAACTTGGAAAATTCTCTCTAGTCATAATAGCATATCAAATTTGGATTTATATTAGAGGAAGAGAAACTTTTTGATTGTACTTTGATAAATAAGATTTGAAATTTTATAGAAGTGGCTGAAAGCATGTTATCTGTTCTACACTATTGAATTGAACACTGCCAGGGAATGTCCTTAGGGTGCTGCCATTGGATTGGCAATAAATGTTAGTGGAGTCCCAAACAAATGAAAAAAAGGTAAAATCCCTTAAAATAATGCATTTTCTCAATCCAGAATCAGGCAAGATAATAAGACTAAGCTTAGTTTCCTATTGATCAAATATATTAAGGAAGGTATCTCAGAAAATATATGGTAAAAGCAAACTTTAACTTCTAAAGTATAAAAGAAAGTAACTCTAAAATTATTTGAATTAAAACACAGGCTTGTTTTTAAGGTAATCTGTGGAATACAAACTGGATGTATAGTAGACAGTGTTTATAAAATTGTTATTTGGCCATTAATTTTTTCGTTTGGGTGTTATTTCAAAACAATTACAGGTAAGTCTGATCTGACATTACCTGAGATTCAAAAAGTATTCATGAATTGACATGATCTAACCTTTGTAGCAAAATGACTGCCAGATTACATTCAATCTTAAAAACTTCTAAAATTATTAACTCTAGCTTACTTTTTCTTTTCCCTTCTGTTTGTGAGGTTGGGGATGAGATAGTGCGCATCAATGGATATTCCATTTCATCATGTACACATGAAGAAGTCATCAACCTCATTCGTACAAAGAAAGTTGTGTCCATAAAAGTTAGGCGTAAGTAACACAAAAAATGACCTCTATCACCGATGATTGCTGTTAATGGATTGTTTGTGGTCTGCAGAAACATAACAAAGTATTTTTCTTTTTCAGATGTTGGCATGATACCTGTCAAAAGGTAATGGCTTTGCTTTTGAAAACAGATGCATTTTTGCACAGCCTCTTCTATCCCAAGAATCTGTGTTTAATTATGAAAATGTGTGAATGCTGATTAAAATGTCACATCCTTTTTAATGAACAGAGAGATGTCTTGCTTGATGAATCTGATATTATGCCAGTTGCCTACTTAAATGAACCAATTTCTATTTCCTCATTTGTCACAGATATATCATGGAAATTTAATTATCACTGCACCTAGCATAGCAGAGAGCTCCACTGCTTCTTTGTATATGTAGCATTTGATGATGGCTTCAGAGTTTAGAAAAATTTAAAATTGTTTTGGTCTTGCCCTTTTCATTGAAAAGCTGAATATTTAGGCAGAATGTTTGACAAGTGTTAATGACAGGAGGTGTCACTCTGCATAGATATTTCTGTAAGATGTTTGAGTGGTTATGGTTCATTTTACAGTTTTCCTCTGAGGTTCCTAAAATTGTTTTACCTGAGAGGGCTTTATCTATTTTATATTCAACCTTTACTAGCCCCAATAATTGTACTCTTGTTTAATGTTCTGTTTAAATTGCTGGAAAATAAACCAAATGTGAATGGTATCCAAAGAAAGTTGTGAATGCCGAACAGAAGGCTTCATTCCAAAGTAGCTTCTGGAATACATTGACACGTATTTTGTCCCATTATTTAAAATTATTTTTTCCTTTCAGTTCTCCAGATGAACCCCTTAAATGGCAGTATGTGGATCAGTTTGTGTCAGAGTGTGGGGTAAGAGATCAATATTTTGTTAAATGTCTTCTGGGGAATCTGTAATGGTTCTGAAACACTTTCTCCTCTGACCTTATCAGAGAAGCTATTGATGCATTACTATAATCCAATATCTTGTTGAAAGTATTCTGTGAGGAACATCTTTTGTGATATGAAATTATTCTAGAGCTATTAGGTAAGGAAAGGGCAGGACACAAATGAAATGGCTTTTACTCATTAATTGCTTCTTCATTTTGCTTGAGCTTAATAGCTTCCCAGGCTGTAGTTCTACTGCATAAATCTTTATCAGATTATTTGGCCTATTTTAGGCATATTAGTGGAGGAATTACAACTTTGAATGCAAGTGACTTCTAAGGGTTGCAGAAGTGAAAAGAAACACCACAATTACTGTTATTTTGCTTTCAGGAAGAAAGACATACTTAAATAGTGAACCTTATCATGTATTTCTCCAACCCTTTTGTCAGGAAACAATAATCTAAATTATTATTATTTTTCCATATCACTTTCCTCTAATTTCCCTCCACCCTTTTCTGAAGACCAAATTTGACTATTTAAGTAATGTTCTGCAAACAGATAAGTTCAGTCTTTCACCTCAGCCATGCAACTCCACTGAAATGACTCTATCTCACTTTCATTTCCAGCAGGATAGGACCTTGGAGCCTTGAATAGGACCTTGAATCTTACCTTGATGCTGGCTGGGATTCATCCTGGCTACATGAAATTTTATAGTAGTCTTGATATGAATTCAAGACAGAATTAACATCTGCAGCATTGTTTAATCCCTCTGCAGGAAGGAAAGGGCAGTGTGGCTGGACTTGCTTCTTCTGGAGGGAGAGACAGTAAAGAGAAGAAAGTCTTCATTAGCTTGATTGGTACAAAAGGCATGGGATGCAGGTGGGTACATGTTTTTTATTTAATGTCACTGTTTTTTAAAGGAAACACTCAAGGCAGTTATTTCCATCCTTCTTGGCTATGTTGTCAGACAAATGAAGATCCATGCTGGATCAGGAAGGCAAACTAACAGTAGGGTATCTGTGGCACATCTTACATATTTTTAGGCAAAGTGTAAGTAGCTGTGTTAAAATTACTGTCATGAAGAAAAGAACTTTAAAATTCAAAAATAAGAATGGACTGAAAGTGCCTTAGTACAACTTGTCATGGAATTGGATCTTGTAAATGCTTTTACATTTTTAAATACTTAAAAGTGCTGCTCAGTGACATAGCAAATTCCAGCACTGTCCACTGTCAGGTTTGCTCTCTGCAGTCTCTGACCATTTCAGAGCTAAAACATCATCACAAAGCTACATCCAGCTTCTAAAATCATTCTTGAATTTACAAGATATTTTAGAAATATGATTCTGGGGTTCTTGGACTCCTTGCAATACTTAGGGAGATTTTGGAGTAGAAAGGGATATTGTAGGATTTCTTATATATTTAGAAATAGATAGTTGTAATTATCAGGCCTCTTTTCTCCTGTAATTTGGAGGATGTCAAGGTTTTTAAAAAATAATTTACAAACCTGGAGAGGTGGCTCAGTATCACTCATTGAATGTATAATCTACAAAATAGTTTCTGTATCTAGGCCCAGCTTAGATTGCAGCTTAAAGTTCCTGATCTAGATGTTGGACCCTGGATGAAACATCCTTCTTGTTCCTAATAAATAATCCTAAGAAAATAACAATGTTTTATACATAGAGGGTCATGCAGTTCAGCAAATAAATCTTCATTGCATTGCTTGTTCACTTTCAGGTACGATTAGTGCCCCAGTCCTTTAGACAGTGTAAGTCGGCATACATGTAAGTTTCAGCATGTAAGGCAAAATACAGATGATTATTTTTCTTGTAGGTTTTTCTTTTAAACCAGTTTTGTGGGGTGGAGAGTAGGAAAATAGGATGATAAACCACTGTGTGTGTACTGGTAAGTTTTGGTATTTGTTTCAGAATTGGCTAATAATTTAATTATTATTCAAGCAAAAAACTATGAAGAAACAGCTAAAACTACTCACTGTGTTACACTGTATTTGTCATAAATATTATTCTACAAATATTATCCAATTAATGTTTGGGATTTTCTACATTTCCAGTATTTCCAGTGGTCCAACACAAAAACCAGGCATTTTTATCAGCAATGTTAAGCCAGATTCTCTTTCAGCAGAGGTGGGCTTAGAGGTAAGTTTACCACCTTGCAAGGTAGGTGCCATAAGGAATTCTTGTTTTGTATTGACAACTCCAAGGATTCGGGGGGTTTTCTTCCCCATAGGAAAGAAATACCTGGTGATTACATTTCAAACAAAGCTAGTTTTCTTAAGTGTAACAGCAGGAGTGACCTGAGTCAGACCAATATTCCTTCAAGCTCAGGATTTGATCCCAAGCAGTGGCAATGGCAGATCCCAGTGCAGGAGTATGCAAACCTGACAAGTTTCCAGTCTGTTCCCCTTGCACTCTGCCCGTACCCATGATTGTTGTGTGAAGGGTGTTAGAGAGCACATTTCTTTCTGTTTTCATTGAATGTGTGTACTAACTTAGCATCAGTACTAAAATTTGCATTAATCCCTTTAGGTTGGTGATCAGATTGTTGAGGTGAATGGAGTGGACTTTTCTAATGTGGACCACAAAGAGGTAAAAGTCTTCTTAATTCCCTGCATTTGTAGTTGTCAGCTTATTAAGTATGTGTCCTGTTTTCCTTTGCAAAAAGTATGTTCTGATTCTGGGCTATTAGCTCAAGGGGTTATGTATTGAACATGGATTTTGCATATTTGCATACCTATGGCTATTTAGTTCTGGAAATTCCAGTCTTGGTAACTAGCATTTTACTGGCCTTTTATCCCTTCCTTCACATTCCTTTTTGTTTTGTTTTAATTTTCAGGCTGTCAGAGTGCTCAAGAGCAGCCGTACTTTGACTATCTCTGTGGTAGCAGGTGCTGTAAGTAGTGTATTTGTAAAAGCAGAATATTTGTAAGCAGAAATGAGTAAAGCTATGTCAGTAAATAAATGGTAAAAATAAATGGATAAAAACAAAAGCTGTGTTTCTGTATAAGATCTATACCTCAGTCAAACCAGCACAGTTTTGAGTGGCATGTTAGTCTTTCATACCACACCAAGTATTGTCAAATAAAACATGGTTGTGGGCCAATGCAAAATCATTTCCTTCACAAGGAATGGAAATTAACATTATTGTAATGGTCTCTAATGTTTGAGAGCTTCTGTTCTGTTCTGTTCTGCTTCTGCTGAAACATGAATTGGATTGGAGACAAATAATTTTTAATCCTGAATAGCTGATGCCTTAGTCTTTATTCCAAATGGGTTCCTTTTGTAACAGTTTATCTGATCTCATTAGTGTATTGACACACTGAAAATTGCTCAATTTTTCCTTTCCACTGTTCTATGCAACAGAACTGCAAGCCTTTGAGATCTAATATAAAGCCAGCTGAAGTTAATTAAATCTTCACTCTGACTTCAGTGTGACTTTCAATAAATGTTTTAATGTTTTTACTGCTTTAATCCTTATAGAAAGTGTGTAGTTGTATACAAGAGGATAATCAAGTTCCATAGACTAATCAAAGACCATGTTTTCCAGTTGCCCTGAAACTGAGTTAAATAGGGAAAAAAAAGATTTAATAAGTCACTTCAGCTACTTCCTAAGGGCTCATGTATACTGTGTAGCTACATTAAGGAATTAATAGTTTATTTAAACTACTTTTAGAGTAAGAAAAGATGAAGTTGTCCAGAGGTGCTGTAGAGATTACTTAAACAAATATTCTGGGTTAGTTGATGAGGCTTCATGAATTCAACATCCTAAGGACTTCGTTTCAACTCCCAGTTACGTTAACAGCTTTAAAAATACGAGATCTACCTCAGCATGCATCACTGGGGTGGTATCCTTAAAATGGCAAATTGTTGCTATGGAACTCCTCTGTTCCTCACTCCTTCCTCTTGCATCATCTTCTCAACAGACATCTTTGACTGGAGAACAGATAGCATAAGGAAACAGTTTCCCTACTATGATGCAAAGCATTCCTCAATGCCTGGTTTTGTTCAAGATGTGTACTTTGCACTTTAGAGACAGGAAAAATCCTACATTCCTAATTAACATGGGATTTTTCTTTCAGAAATGAAAATTAGATTCATGTTATCAAAGTGTTCTATAGCAGTATAGAAATGGCTTTCTTGAACAGAAAATAGTGCTAGTGTCTTAATTGTAAAGCAAATGAAAAGTGAACCAACTGAAACACAAACTGAACAAACTGAAATACATAAAACCAACTGAAATACATGAACTGCAGTGTGTTTTGGGGATGTACATTCCCTATATTTGGGGTCCAGAATGATGACACGTTTCTGCAGCAGCCAGGCATTAAGAGCATTAAAACACAGTAACTGTGTAGTTCTCTTCACATTGGGAATCATTCAGTGTTCTGTTTTCTGGCATTTCATTGCCCAGTGAAGTTTCAAGAAAGTATAATGTGAATTTTTTTTTTCTGAGTGACACTGAGCATAAATTTGGCATGACCCCTATGGTGTTATTGCTGGCTTCAGTAGTTGCAAACCTTGTCTGAAGTGTTTTGTGCATAATAATTGAGAGGCTGAAACTAGAATAGCCCCTTGGAGTAACCAGTCAGGTCTTTGAGGATCTTCCAGGGTGCGTTCCTCAGGAAGAGCAATGTGAGGAAATGGCAGATGTGCTGTGGATTTTCTCTCTGACAGTCTGGTCAGAGAGAAAGTCAGATAAACTTTCTCAAGCTCCCCTAGAATAATGTCTGGGAAAGTTTATCTGACCAGACTGTCAGCATCCACAGATGTGCTACTATGTAAATGGGTTTGAATCATCTCCTAGAAGAACTGCATTAATGAGTTATTTTCACAGGTGATGCGAGTGGTGTTTTTGATCGCAGGGCAAGGAGCTGTTCCTGACTGAAGAAGAAAGGCAAAGAGAAGCACGTCTCCGTGAGCTGGAGCGCCAGGAGTTAATGCATCAGAAGCGGCTTGCGCTGGAGACCAACAAAATCATCAAAGAGCAGCAAGAGAAAGAGAGATTGTGAGAACTCACTATAGGACAGCCTGAAAAATTTAGCTTGGCTTTGGAGAGGGCATGGAAGACAGGAGCACATAATTCTTTTTGTGATATTTCTCACCAAAGTGAGAAGATTCTCAACTTAGATTAACATTGTTTTGCTTTTGCAGAGTCTCTGTTCATAAAATGTTTGTCCTGTGATGCTCTTGATATTCTGAGCTTTCAAAGCTGTTAGCATTTAAAGCCATCTTGAGTAGAAGAGCATGCTGCTCTCTGACTCTCATACCCCAATGTGTGGTATTCATTATTTTCCTGATGCTATTCACTCATGCTTTATTTTTAGCAAGATAGTTAGAAATTTTCAACTCATACAAAAAAACACTATAGTCTTTTCTCAGAAGAAGGTAGTGACTCATAGAATTAAGTAGAGTATATTCCCTTATTATCCATGTGGTCAGGAATGTCCTTGGGGTTCCTAGGAAACCGTACTGAATCTTTGGTGTCAAAGATGACTTTTAAAACTGAGTGTTTTCCCCCAGTACAAATGTATTTACTGTATTTAACTTTTAACTGTATGCTGACACACATTGTTCAGGTTCTTACTCAGAAAATACTATTTTTATCATGTTGTCCTAATTCCACTCATTATAGAAGAAAGCTGGAGATTTCCCAGAAGGCTGCAGAGGAAGAGGAGAGATATCGCAGAGAAATAGAGCAGTGAGTAAAAACCTTAGACAGGCAATGTGCCACCTGGAAGAGGGTTCCTTGTGTATTAGATTAGATCTGGCTGAATACATTCTGCATGATGCTTTCAAATAAAATTGTGTAGTATTTCCATTTAGCTAAATGTAGGATCCAGTACATATTAGTAAGTACACCACAGTTAAAGAATTGGAAACTGATCTGAAAATCAGTACCTGTAAACATGAGGATCATAAATTAACATGAGGCAATAATAAATTTTGTGGAGTTCACTGTGAAGTTGAAGTTGAGAACTTATTTTAAAAGTATTATTAATATATAGAGAAACTTGAGATTAAGGAAATTCTGTGCCCCAGAACTTGTTTACTTTGTCGTCACTGAAACACTACATTAATTCTAAGAGAAAAAATGCAGTTCTGCTAAGAAACAGATCAGTACTATATTTTTGACTGAAGCACTTTTACATTTGCAAGTTTGAAATTAACCAGTTGTTATCAGAGTAATTAACTTCTAAATGATGCTGGGAAATTGCATGAAAATGCAAATTGCAGAATAATACCTATTTTGATTCAGCCTTCTAGGGTCAAGATTGACCCTCAAGTCTTTGGCTTTGCTCCTTTGATGTTATTAAGGGTTTTTAATTAATTTAATTCATTTAACTCTCTTTTCATGTATCTGTATTAGCTGAAATTTAGTGATAGAAAAAGAGCAGGGAATTCTGAATTTGTAAAGTGCATAAAGAAATATATTCCCCAGCTGTCACAAGAGAAAAATCTTCTGGCAGTCCTGCTGGGGGCTCTACAGCAGCACATGGATGAATTCTTAAGCATTTCCCTTTTCTGGTCCCAGGCAGTTGATAACATCCTGTTCTTTATTTTGTGGCCTATATAGAAATTCCTGCAATAGCCAAAAGCTGCTATAAAAGCAGGCCATTACAGGTGAAGGATGTTTCTGTTCTCCAAATCTAGATTGCCCGTCTGTTATAACGGATGTTGGATGTCTGCTGTGTTGTTCTGCACTAAGAGCGTCTTTACTCACTCAGGGAAGGCTTTCTTGCCCTGAGGGCTGCTCAGTGTAAAGTCTAGCACAGCTTTATAGCTGCCTGTATAATTTTTAAGTGTTGCTCAGCCATTTTTAAGCTTTTCCATATCACAATCCAAACTGTTAAGTTGGTGTCAGTCTCCTGGGTGAGGAAGAGGGAGAATGGTAGCACAGGAACCTAGATGAAATCTAAAGCTGAGATTTAATGAGCAGTTGTGGCAGGCTAAAATACAATGTTTTTCTGTATTAATTGTTTTTGAGTATCATGCCTTGCCTTCTTTTAAGAATCCTTTCTGCAGGAGTTCCTTGTATAGTCACTGTGCCCTTTTTTGGGATCTTACATTTGAAAAAAATTTCATATGAGCCTAAATGGCAGAGGTCCCTAACTCCATGTACTGCAAGTTACATTGTAGCACTGACTTTTAACAACTAAAATTAAATTTAAAAACATTCTGTCCATTGTTCCCTGACAATGCCTCTACATTTAAATAGTGAGCTCAGCTACGTATTTAGGAGTGTTTTGAAACCATGTGAATATTTTTTCAACTTACTTTAGCTAATTTAGAGATGCAAAAGGTAATCCAAATATAGATTCATATGTATCTAAGACCTGGTAAATTTTGGCACCACATTATTAGTTCAAGGCAAGCTGTAATCAAGAATAGATCTTGGATCATTTAAGGCAACATATATGAAGCTACATGTTGTCAGGGTATTCAGCACTTCTGCTGTGACATACTTGGTACTTGCTGAGTTTTTGCTTGAAACATCTTTTTTCTCTGATCAAAGTGCAATGCTAGGTAATTTACTTCTCTTGCATGCTCTTGTCCTGAATTGTGACACTCCCTGCAGCATCCCCCATTCTCTATCCGTACCTTTCTACCTCTTCCGTACTTCTTCCTCTATCCGTACCCCTCTCCTCTCTTTTTTTGATTTTTTTCCCGTTTTTTCCTAAAATACAGAATTTAATATGGCTTCTGTTCCAACAGTATTTATTTCTTGTGGGGAAGAGTCACTTTTTATGGCAACCTTGAACTATGCGTTTAGGAAGCAATCATCAAAATAGTTTTAAAGAGAGAGGAGAGTCACATATTTTTTTAGGTATAATTTGCCATTGTGACATCTGATTTACATGTATGGTAGATATTCTGTCATTCGGTGTTTCAGTTTTTCTAGTAAGTAATTCCAGTCCTAAAAATGAAAAAATTGCTAAATGAGAGACTTTTTTTTTTACTTCTTTTAAGGTGATAGTACTGTAGTGTGTCACTCATGGTTTATTATCTGTGCAGGTGTTATATAACAGGCCTTAAAAGTCTAAATATTAAATAAGAATATCTTCTTGCATTGTAGTTTACAAATTGTCTTAGTAGTTTAGTAAATTAAACAGATTGATTAATTCAGTTATGCGGAAGGAGCAGCTTTTTCTGCTTTATATTCAAGAGAAAAACAAATATGCTGAAAAATTATAATGGTAATGAATTTATACTGATGTTGTTCATTTTGTACTCAGAATGTTTAACTGCATTTGTTTCCTCTAGGATAACAGCAGAGGAAGAGAAATTTAAAAAGGAGTGGGAAGAAGACTGGGGTCCTAAAGAACCACCCAAGTCTCTAAAAACTGTAACTGCAGAAGTGCACTCTCCCCCTCGTTCCAAACACAAAAGTAAGTAATTGATGTCAAATTTCCTCCTTGTATTTGTCTAAGACACATCACTGAGCTCTATTAAAAATATACTGCTAGTTTGTTTGGTTAAGTTAAGATTGCTATGACTTGATTATTTTTTGGAAGACTGGAAGCATATGATAAATCAGTTAAATAATTCTTATTTAACAGGTATCTATCTTGCAAAATCTACATCCATTCACATAGTCATGGTTTTTAACAATCAGCAGCAGGAAAAGTAAGAATAAGGCTTACTAAGAAACGGTCGGAAGCATCAACCTTGGGGATTTGGTGCATTGTTTTGCATGTTGTTTCTGTCAGCCTTTTCTCAGTTTGGCTTGGGATATTAAAGATCACTTAGTTCCAACCCCCTGACATGGGTGGGGACAATTTCCACTAGACCAGGTTGCTCAGAGCCCTGTCCAACCTGGCCTTGAGCACTGCCAGGGATGGGGCATCCACCACCTACCCAGGGGAACCTGTTCCAGTGCCTCACAGTAAAGAATTTCTTCCTAGCATCTAATCTAAATCTGTCCTCTTTTAGTTTAAAGCCATTCTCCCTTGTCCTGTCACTACTCGCCCTTTTAAAAAGTTCATTTTCATTTTTCTGGTGGCCCCTTTTAGGTACCAAAAGGCTCACCTGAGGTCTCCCAACATCCTTCTCTTCTCCAAGCTGAACAGCCCTAGCTCCCTCAGCCTTTTGTCATAGCAGAGGGGCTCCAGCCCTCTGATCATCTTCATGGCCCTCTGCTGGATCTGCTGGACCCATTCCGACAGGTCCAGGCATTCCATCTTATATTGGGAGCTCCAGAACAGGATACAACACTCCAGGAGGGGTCTCATGGAAGCAGAGTAGAGGGGCAGACCTCCCTCCCTTGCCCTGCTGCTCTTGATGCAGCCCAGGATGCTGCTGGCTTTCTGATTTACTTGTCCAAAGGGAATTCAGAGAGTTGGAGCTTAGCTGGCAGTTACGAAGCTTAATTGGAAGCTGAAAATTGTATGTGGAGAGTGTACTAAAATTGTATTGTAGAAAGAAATTGTTGCATATTTGTCGTTGCAACAATAAATAGTTGCATAATTTATAGGAGACCTGGGCCAATTCCTTATCTGATATTATTTTATTATATTATTTTGTGTGTGGCTTTGGGGAGTTGTGCTGATGGTTCTGTTACAGGAAAAGCCACCAAACTCTTCAGGCTTCCCTTCACCACATAGTAGACCAGTTGTCCACATGCAGATCCTATCAACTCTTCAGGACTGGAGGAGGTTAGAGATTATTTTAAGTAGAGCCTTTTTTTTTTTTTTTTAACAATTCTGTAGAAAAACATCCCATCACTTAGTGCGATTTTTGTTTCACAGAAACTTCTAGTCACACGTTACTGATCTCTTTTTCATTTCATGGGAACCCCCAGCTACTGTCACTTCTGTCTCCTCACCCCTTTCCTCCTTTGTTTCTCTAGAAGATTTAAAGGGAGTTGCACATGACCAACTTGAAACAGATGACATGGATGAAGTGAACATGAAGCAGGACAAACAGGTTTGCCGCTCAGCCCTGACTTCCTATCCTGATTCAGATTCTTCCTGTGTCTCACCTCCTGACAGTCAGTCTTGACATTCAGCTGACCATTTAGTTTTCCTAGGGCAATATGTGTGGTCCTTTAGTAAATGATGAAAGATTTTGACACTGCTGTTGTCATTGCATCTAAAGATACCTTGATATGAGATCTAACAACCCTACAGAAACATGGATTATACTGAGTGCTCTGAATTAGCAGTATTTCATATATAAAAGTTATGGTAATATATTCTTTTGTATGTTTTTACTTAGCAATATATTTTACAATATTTATGCACTTGGGGCTTGAAATATTTTGGCCTGGGAAATGGAGCTTTTCATATGTCCTCAAAAGCAGTGTTCTGCCACAAGCTTGAATGAGTTTGAATACCTGGTTAACTTTCATAAAGCTTGCTAAAACTACTGTAAAGTAGGAGTGTGACCATAAAAATCCTAGCAATGCACATGGCATGTGTGGTTCTGTGTAAAGAATACTTGTTGCATTTTCTTTATTTGGCATAAAATGTGTATCACTAAAATAAGGGAAGCCTATGACTAAATGTTCTAGAACCATTTATCAAGAACTTAGCTAAGAACTTGTTATGTAATATCAAACCTCTGGTGTTGTGCCTCCAAATAAATTTTAAGCAGTTACACATATCAGCATGGATTGGTCTGATTATGAGCCTGTCCTTGGCTTTTCTTCAAAAAACAACTTTTCCTTTACCTTTTGTAGCTTTTGGATGGTTTTATCGGTATGAAGGGAAATTTCCCACAATCCGTAAGGTACAGCATTTAAAATGTCAATTTGTTTGCTGTGTGTGTTTGGATTGGAATTCCTCATTTTTCTTCTTCTCTGCTATTAGTAAGCATTCTTTATAGTCAAATGCTCCTTCTTTTAATGTGTGCACAAATTAAGATGCCTTTGGGATGCGTGTGTCTAGGACTTTGTCCTTTTGAGTCCTTCAGGCTCTGGGTTCTGCCATGTGCAGAGGGAATTGTATAACAATACTTTGCAGATGTTTATTACAGGTGGGCAATGCATGTCTTCATGTTCTCCAAAAGTCCTCAATCATGTGTATATAAAAACAGTAGAGACAAAAATTATCCACTTATACCTTTGCAAATCTCCCTGTGGGAGGAGTGCTGAAGGCGAAAGGCTTTTAGGCATGCAGATATGAGCAAAAAAAACAGTTAACAGTCTTTAGGCTGATAAAATATTTGTATGGAATGCTGCTGAAGTATTGCAATTTCAATTTATGAGAGTTTCAAGTAATATTTTGTACTTGCTGCTGCTTCCTTTTCTTTATTTCTTGCAATGTATATTAGCCATATTTTAGGGGATTGCTGTTGAGTTGTGTGCTTTAGTGGTGGTTTTTTGCTAATTAACAGTGGTAAAAGTGCCATGAAGATTTGGTGTGCGTATCTGGCAAGAACTCAGGGTTTCAGAGGAGGTCAGGATTGCTTCTGACGGATGAAGTATTTGTGTCACTGTTCAGGACTTTTAATTTGACCTTCTGTGTGCCCAGGATATACCTGTTCCCCTTAAATGAGATCAGGAGAAGATGGTGCATTCCAATAGCTTTTTGTACTGCTAGTGACTGTAAATCATCATGGATCTGTAACCTGTGGAAAAACCAGGGCAGTTGGGATTTTTAAATGAAAATTATAAACACATGCTGTGGAAACTCTTCACACAAAGAGGGTAATATTTGGGGTTGCTGCTGAAAACTATAGTTTAGGAGAATGCCTAACTACCTCTTTGTATACTAATGATCTTAACATAATTCCTGTTGAACTTCACCACACTCTGTGCACTGGAAGTTTGAAAACATTTCCTTTTCAAACATTTGCTTTTGGCAGTGGTGAATTTCTATCCTATTCCCTATTGCTAATGATTTTTTTGTTTGTTTTAAAAACAATATTTTACTCTGTACTAAAAATGTCTATAATAGGAAGTAAACTGAATCCATGGGGAAAATTGTAGGAAAGGATGAATCATCCTCTTGCATCTGAATGCTGTGACTGCAGCTAAGACACTTAGATATATGTTCATGTTCTAGAAGACTTTGGCTTGTGTACTGCTTAGTGGGCCTTTGAATTCAGTAGTTCTTCAAATGTTGATACCTAGCAAGTTGACCTGCCTGATGTTACATTTGGCACTGTCTGCTAGATGTATCTTTGAATTTTTAAGAGGATGATGTTGGCAATTGTTGTTAAGGTAAAAACTAATTAACCCTGAACAAAATAGACCGCAGAATTAGGTTTATGTTAAAACATTAGTGTGAAAAGCTAGGTTTTTTAGTTAAGCTTTATTTCCAATGTTTTTGGGGTTCCTTTCCCCCTGTTCCCCTCCGTAAAACACCACCACCACATAACCATGAAGCAATAGACCACATCCCACTGAACTCAGGAGTACAAAGTTCCAGTTAATGGCTTGGCTGGGGGATTTGGCTTCTGTAGCTGCCAGGGAAAACGTCTGTTTTCTAGGGCTTTGTTATCAATATTAATATGCAAAAGGTGAAAGGAAGACAAATAATGCTATTTAATGTGAAGCAGTTTGTGGTGGTTTTAGGAATTCAAAGCAAGAAAAGTCAATAGCTGATGATGATGAGAAGAACAAAATCAAACCTGAAGCACAGCCTTTGTGTCTGTGGCAGTAATTGTCTACAAGTGGCCACCTGCTCCTCTGTTTTAGTTTTCATAAATAGAGCAAGAACATGGCATTTCCAAAATGAACTAAGTCCTACCTGTACAAATGTGAAAGAGCAGCAGAAATGTGACATAACAAAAGAAGAAATAAGGAGCAGTGTGTGTTTTGAGGACAACAGGAACAGAGGCTTCCAAAAGACTATGTAGCTCTTCCCTTTGTTTGTGTCCTACATCTAAAATTTTAGAGTCACTTTGTGCTGTATTATTTAACTCATCTGAGTAGATTTTATCTAGTGCTTGTAGGAGCTACATGGTCTTTGTGATGCAGTGTTCCTTCTTGGAAGCAACTCAGTTTCTGCACTGATGTAAACCTTTCCTTTACAATTCCTTATTTCAGTTTTATTAGGGGATGCAATGCTGATTTTAGGGCATGTGCATGAAGCTGTTGTATGCATGGACTATGCACATCTACCTATACATGAGCATCTGTCACCTGAAAGCAATCATTCATATATTTATATATAAATGCCAAAACAGAGAGATGGCAATTTAAGACACAACCAAATCTCTTTGAATATTCAAAGTTTTGTAGTGGGCCTGTGTGCCCTGAAGTTGTAACTTTGCAGAGGAACAAAAAAGTTGAATTCTCTGATCTCATCCAGCTTATGTTCGGGGGCACAAGCCCTCCAAAAATCTTGAATTTCTTGAAAATTACTGGGTAAAGGAACTTTGGATTTTCTTTTAAAGAACCATCCCCATACTTGCGTAGACTGTAATTAAGTTTTCAAGGCAGACACTCATGTTCCAAGATTGAAGTTTCTGGTGGTTTTAGCTGATGTAAAAGTTTTTCTTACAAAACCTTCCCAGAAAGGGAAAGAACGAAAGAAGTCAAAAAGCGATAGCTTTTGTGAACAGAAGAAGAACAAAAAGGAAATGGAGTTTGAGCAAAAACTTGCCAAAGAGAAGGAAGGAATGCTGGAAAGAGAAAAACAATTGAAAATAAATCGTCTTGTGCAAGAGGTATGTTGTCACCTATCAAGTGCAAAGCTATATTGAAAGAAAATTAAATGGATTTTTAATGGAATTATTTTAGCAGGACACTTGTTTACTTATTTCAAAGATAGTGAAATTTTAAAAACTGTCTTACTGTTGCTGCATTTTCTTATTTCTAGTCAGCTTTTGTCCAAATGAGGATACTTCTGCAGTTATGTCCATGTGTAGTGATGAATTTACTGAAAAACAGCAAAATAGGAAATCCTTCTTAAAAGTATTGTTATTTTTTGTAAACTCTTTTAGGTGAAATTTCATACTTTTGAAACATAGTTGTCTTGTGACCACACCTGTAACCTTTTCTAATGTACCAATGTTATGGTCAAGGTATCTGAGACAGAGCGAGAAGACCTGGAAGAATCAGAAAAGGTTCAGCACTGGGTGGAAAGACTTTGTCAAACACGGTTAGAACAGATCTCCTCTGTGGAGAATGAGTCTCCTGAGGTAAAATTATAGCTTTTCCATATATTGCATGATCTCTAAATAACTGGAAGTTGTCTCCTAAAAGCAGCAGGTTTTACCAGTGAAAAAAATCTGTTTTTCTTTCCCCCTCAGTACTTTTGAAGGGGAGGGGGGGAAAAGTCAGTAATTGATACTTACAATCTATAGCATTTCTTTTCCTATATTTTATGAAAATTTAAACATTATTGGAATGAGCTGATTTGTATTTTGTCCTCTTTAACTCTATTATCATGACTAAATTAACAGTTTTTGTTGCAGTGTGAGCTCTTCCAATAAGTTTTATTGTCTCATGAAATATTTGGACTAGATGGGACATGCTGCCAGTAACAAAAGCTAGATCCATCTATATTTATTAGCATCATGTGAATATAAGAACATCATTGATAAAGAGCTCTTGGAAGCTTCCTTGTATTGTGTGAAATAAAGGAAAAGGATAAGAAAATTACAGAAAGATAGAAAACTCACAAGGAATAGGGTTTGGGCTTGTACTTTAAATAGTCCCCTTTAATCAGGGGAGCTGCAGAAAGGGATTGTTCCTTAGAGCCTGATGGTTCTAGACATGGGGTGAGGCTTTCCCACCATCCTGTTGCTCTGGCTGTCTTCCAAGGAAAGCCACTTCCAAGAGGAACACTGCAATCTACTGAGCTCTCATGGGATCCCCCGAGAAACTGCAACCACAAAAGGGGCCTTGGGGAACGCTCTCACATGATTTTCCTTCAGGTCAGCCTGGAGCAGCTCTGAAAAAAGCAGCTGATCTTTTGTTCCTCATGGCCCTAGGCTCAGATCCATGTGGTTTTTCAGTAGAGGTCTTTAGTGGAATGATTATGCAGAGGTTTTCTCTCACTATCCAAACTTGGCAGCCTGTGTTCTGCTAGAACTTTGTCCTCCTTTGTAAAGTAAGAAGGAACACAACAGATTACAAACAGCATTGTATTTTCAGAGCTCAACCTGGATTTAAGACCAGCACTCTGTTGTGTTTGTTCCATCATTTTTTCCATTATGTTGTATATGACTGCTCTACTGTGATTTTTCTACAAATCTGCCCAAGCAGTTAAAACACATAAAACACAAAACCTGAGTGCTCCTTAGGGGTAAATGCAGCTGAAAGATAATCAGGTGCTACAGGTTGAAACTGTTTCTTGGGAGCAAGAGCATTCAAGATCTCCTCTGCCAAAGAAATAGCAATTTTTCAGCACAAGGAGGTGAGCATGTTAGATAAGAAGAATGTGAAAAGTGTCACCCACTGAGGGACATGTTGCCATATTAGAGCAAGATGAATGTGTCTGTCAGACAGCTTATCTATGTAAGGTTTCCTCAGCTGAGTCTACAAAATAGCACGATGACTGAATTTTCTCAATTACTCCAGTTGGATCACCAACAAAAGAAATGTTAGCAACTCTAACAGCATATGTAGATGCCTTCCTCGCACACATCCTTATTTTTTTGGAAGAGTTGCTCATTGCATTCTGAAGTTCTTTAGTACCCCAATAGATCTGGTGTGTATTAACATGAATTATAAAATCACAAGCCCCTTGTGGATTAACGTAGATTATAAGATATCAAGCCCCTTGAGGTTCTGAATTTAATAGCACACTAAATTTTTGTTTTGATAGCTGCTTAAGCTTAGTTTCCTTTCTTGTACTAATGTGTGGTTATGTTTACACAACTTTAACCCCTTTCCCTTTTTTAACAACATAGAATCTCAAGGCCTGTGTTTGATTATTTTCCTTCAAATAATCACCTTCGTGAGGAGCAATTCTTGCTTTCTCCTCATAAGAGCCAGAGAGGCAAAAATTGTGTTGTCTTGCTTTGTCCTGTGATTTTGCCTTCTGAAAACTGTTGTTGGGGTTTTGTGGGGTTTCTTTTGTCAACCCCTTTACCCCAACAGTTGCTGTCACACCGCTCCTGGTATTTTTTCTTTTTAAACGGGAATCCCAAGGAGTACTTTTGGAAAGGCTTTCAGAGAAAACGTTGGTGTGTATTCTGTGTGGGAGAAGCAAAGCTCTCTTGTGGAGGAGCGGTTGGCCTGAGCGGCGTCCTAGGGCTGCCCATCCTTTGGAAGTGTTGAGGCAGGTTTCTGTTCTGTCACCTGTAGCTGGCGAGCGGCCGTCCCTCTCCCCCGGCCGCCTCCATGCGGCGCTTTGCCGGGGGCCTGCAGCTGCACACCACCGACCTCGATGACATCAACTTAGACGAAGTTGACAAACCCAAACAGCGCGCGCCGCCGCCACCTCCGCCACCGCCGCCGCTGCCCACTGTAACCCCAACACCGCCAGCTCATCCACCTCCTGCCTCAAATGCCCCACGAGGCCCAGCCCTGTTGGTAACACCAGCATCCCAGGTGACCTCGGGATCTGTTTGGATGCATGCGCCTTTATCATTCCCCTGAGTGCCTCCCTGCCCTGATCCATCACCCTCTTTGTCTGCTCGACATACCCTTCTGCCCCTTGCAATGTCAAAGGAGAGAATTGGGTGGTTTCTTCATTTTTATCACTAGTGAATGCAGTCTAGAGGTAGATTCATTTCAATATTTTTTAAATGTAAATCAGGAGGAGTTTGCTCTCCTGCTTGCATACCTTGTAACCCTGCAGATGTACTAAGCAGAATGTATCAGTTTAAAAAAAAAAGATTGTTTAGACTTCAGTGATTAAAAACTTTAAAAAGCTATTGCAGGCAGCAGATTTAATTCATTGTTAAGTTTGAGAAAAGTATCCCTGTAGTGGAAATTACTTGTAGAAGTTCTTTAAATGTGTCATCAAATTGCTTTTTTAGGTGAGAAGAGTGGACAAAGAAAATTGGCCTAAAGTCAGGAAGCCAAACTTTTAAAAGGCCAAAACTGTGAAACAAAAAAGCAAGAGCTGGTACCCTGGTTTGACTTTCTGGACTTTGAGAAAACATTGACTTTCTCCTTATTGCAATCTGAGTTCAAAAGAGGATCAAATAAAAGAAATTGTGTGCCAAATCTCACTTTAGGAAAGAAATGGCAGCTGATTCATCATAATTCCCTTTGCTAAGCACTGTAGTGAGAATCATGTAGTTGTTCTTTTGGCAAAAGCTGCTTACTTGTTTCAAGCAGCAGAAGAGGATCCCATATGGTCACTTCTTTCCTATACAGTTTTCTGCATGGGTTGACTGACTGCACTATGGGGTTTTGGGGGTTTTGCATGTTTACTAAATAGGCTTTGTGTTTGCATGATTCTCCTTGGGTGGGGAAAGATATGCACATTTATCCCTTTTTGGTAAAAACTGGTAGATTCTTTCTGTGAATAATTGCCCTGATTTGACCCATGAATCTCTTGCAAACTTCTGTGGACCTCTGATAGTGTTTGATCTATTTGGTTCATACATTTGAAGTGCCAAGAATGTGCTAGATCTACTGAAATGGAAATATCATATGTTCTTATGGATAGCAGATTTCCCAAGTTATTTGCAAAATAAAAATGACGAGAAACGACACAAGTGTACAAAATACTTATGTTGAGACAAGAAATACACTCTTTTAAAGAGAACAGAGACTATTCAGACAGGAGTAATATAGGAACTGCTGTACTTATCTGACCCCAAATCAATGTAATCTAATATCCGCTTCTGGCAGTTTGTCACTGCTAGCTGTGTTAGAGAAAATAATAATTAAGAAAAATATGTTGGGTAACAACAAATAACCTAGTCTTTGAAATTGATGTCAGTTTTCACTGAATATAATTACCGTATATGAGGAAATAACTAGGCTCTTAGTAAAATTAATTGAGCCAAGGCTGCTTTGTTTATAAATAGATAATTCAATATATCTGATGTCATTTCAGAAATTGAAGAAAAATCCAAAGCTTGACAATTTATTCTTGCTACCTTTTACAAAGTCAGTTTTTAACCCCAAAGATAAGCAAAAGCAGTATATTTGTGTGGCTGTGGATTAAAGATCTGGTGTTTATGCCTGCTAAAGCCAAAAAATAAGACAACTGTAGTTGTCCCGTAAGTTCATTTCTCTAATATTACTCAAGCTGGTACATACTCTCTATATTGCTCCATTTTTGGTTTCAACTCAGATAATTTAATTTCCAATTCAGCTTGAACAAGACCTGACAAAAGGAATAAAATCCTGTCAGAGACATTCTTGAGAACTAGCTGTTAAAATATCTAGTATAAATTATCTGTTTCTGAAAAAAATTATTATTAGCTTTACACTTTATATGAACCCAGTACTAAGTGTGTTGCTGTTTAGGTTGCAAGAAACACCTCCCACGTTGGCAAAGCGTCCCCTGTGTCAAGCAACCCGCTGGTATGTCACGAGCTGTTTATCATGGCTGTGGTTTCATGAACTTCCCATGTAGTGCTGATGACAAGGAACTGCCAAAGGTTTCGCTCTGCAGGGATAATTTATTTAAAATTCAGCACAGGGAATCATCTGTGTGGATATGTTGCTGTGCTGAAAGTACAAGTGATTGGAGTGACTTCTAATGGTCCAAGGATTTTGTATTTCAACAGTTTAGCAAAATGAAGTCAATATTTGCATGCTGTGAATGTCTGTATGTCACAGCACATGTGCTTTGTTCTTCCATCAAGGCAAAAATTGCTAGGTTCAAACTACCTTTTAAATATAATGGGTGCTAAGATGCAAGTTTCATCTTAGAGCCACCATTTGTTATCTCTTTGCACTGACTTTGCCTGAACAGAATGATCAGACATCCATTCTGCCCTCTAGAAAAATCTGTTGCTAAATTATGCAACTCCAGGAGAAATCATCCAGTTCCAGTGCAGCTTAACAAGTTGGTATCTGTGAATCTGTTGATTCTGATTCTTCTGAGTTCAGAATGTTTAATATATTTTGCAGTGTGGAACATTAGTTGAGTGATAGCCACAGGGACTTTAAAATATCTGATTCAAACTTTTTTAAAAGTTGTTTAAGAAAGGAAAGAATGGGGGAAACAAGCCCACAGGGGAAAAACATGCACACACGCACAAAAAATAACGAACAAAAAACCAAATCCAAAAAGTGGCTTAACCCATTTGCTGGAAGCAGATAAATAATTTCAGAGGTTACAGCTTGTACCATAAGAATGATCTCTGTAATACATCACATTTCCTATGAGAAACATTGAGAAAAGTGTCCCAAGAGTTGCTGGGGCTAAGTCAGAAACTGAACCCACGGGACTCAGTTTTGAACTCTTTTCTTGAATAAAACTGTACTTGCTGTCAGTGGGAGTTTGGGCTGAGTGAAAAGTGTAGGATTGGACTAGGCCATGCTGAACGATGAGGTTTCTGGGTATCTCTACTTTTTGGTCAATTCCCTGCCCTTGATTCCACACAAACCCTTGCTGTTAAATCAAGAAAATTTAGCTTGAAATTCCTTATGGAAAGCTGTTTGCTGCAGCCGTGCTGAATTTCATCTTAAAAGATTTATTTAGCCATGGATTAGTTAAAATCTTTTTGTTTGGTTCACTGTGTTCTTACACTCAACTTTAGCAGTTTGGGGGTTTTTCTCTCTAACTTCTCATTCAGTTTGTTGCCTTTATGGGAAAAATGCCAAAAGCAGCACTGAGATTATGGAAAAAATCTTTCTTGTGAAGCCAGACTTTAGGTGAAAAGCTACTACTTGGATATAAGAGAAATTGTGTTTTGGTTTGTTGACTTTGTAAGCCTTAGTTAAAATAATTCTGTCAGCTCTGTTTTGGATTAGTGTCCTTAAATTCATTATGATAAACCATTTGAATTGAGGAACTCTTGGTGAAATGATGGATTTGCACAAATTAGGTTGTAAACTGTAATTTTCTTAAATTAACTCCATAGCAACTTGCTCCAAGTCCACCTACCCAGCGTCATCCAGGGGTACCAATAGTCTCTAAACCAGTTATGCTGCATCCTGACCCAAACTTCGTGGTCAGGCCAACAATCAAATCAGAGGCCCTGGTAAGCCTTTTAATATCCTTTTTTCTGAGTGCTCCAGTACTGTGAGGGTTTGGTTTTGATATTGTTCTTTGAGATGTCCTCAAAGAATCAATCCTTGTCTCATTTCCTCATGAGACAAAGATTGATTTTTCTCATTTCCTCATTCCTAACTAAAATTCCTGTGTATTTTCAAGCAGTCACTAATGGTAAGTACTAAACAGTAGTTTTCCATTTTTTTTCCAAGGTGGAAAAGCTACGTTTAGTGACAATTTTTGTACAGAGGTGCATAATTCCAGAGCAGTGTAAAGCCCTAGAATTTGTACATATTACTTCTCATTTACTCAGATACTAGGATTTATTTTTATAAATTCTGAATTCATCAGAAATTAAATAAAAATTAAGTCAATTGCCTTTTTCCTTTGTAAATAGTCACGAACATACTTAAAGATATATGCCTTATGATATAATTTATCCTATATATAAATATAAAAATATAGAATTTAAATGTATCTTTTAATTTCCAGGGGAAAAAAAGTGTGTCATTATATTAGACTCTAATATAGTAGTCATGCAGAGTTACTGCAAAATTCAGTTATCAGCTTCTTTTTCTTCTTTTCCATTTCTGTTTCAAATGCAAGTGAAGGGGAAAGTCAGAGGTTAAACATTTCAGGACCAACCATGAAGCATCCTTAGGAATTGTAGTTTATAAAGGAAGTGAGCAAGGCTTACTGAGAAAAAAATAAAAGGAGAAATATTGCTTAGACAGGTGATAACTCCCAGCTGACAGTCCTTGAAATTCACCTAAAATAGCTGGTGAACTAGTTGGTAGTGTTTATTCTTGAGGGTCATTATGACTTAAGCTTTTTGTGTCAGAGTTCTGTGTTTTTTGCATGCATGTGTGTGGATACATGTATATATGTATTTGTAAGACAGTAAGTGACAGAAAACCCATCAAATTTGTGTTATATTTAATTAAAAGCTATTTCTGGCAGTAAGTTATGTGCACAATATTCCTAGCTGTGTTTCATTAAAACATGATGGATTTCTTTGTCATTTTTTGCTTTAATAATTTAGATAGTCTTGTTTCCTTATTTTCCCCTGTTACACTTTGAAGAAATTTAAGTGATACTTAGTAACCACTTTTCACACAGCCAGAGTAATCTTGAAGCTTCTACATTATAAATGAATTGAATGGTAATTGGAAGCAGTTTTAATAAGTTGCTTAAGAGAAGGCAGGCACATGAGCTAAAAATAAATTCAGATCCCTCCAGTGGAGATGTTTCCTTCAGTTGGAGCTCTCATTTTGATTGTGTTCAGTAATTTAACATCTCTAAGCAATATGAAATCCCTTAGGAGAGGAATTAACAAAGTCATAATCTGCAGTTAATATCATCTAGCTTTTGAAAAAGTGTATATATGTGAACTAGTTTGCAAAATGGATAATACCTTTATGTGTGATCCAACAGTCTTGGTACAAATTTTCAAAGGCCCTTTTTTTTACTGACTATATACAATTAGTTTGAGAAACTGGCAACAAGATCCACCTCCATGGGAAATGTCTTATGATTTGTTATGCATGCATGCACATTTTCCAAATCACAAGTCTGCTAAAATCTTTCAGATTCAATCATCTTCCTTCCCAAACTGCCTTATATTAGGTGGAAGATCAAAATTTCCGTGGGAGGAATATTCTGGTGGGACTTTGAAAGATCAGTCTATAAATTGGTTTGGTGGACCTTATACCTCTTACTTGCATTGACGACTTACTGCAGTAAAGAGTATTTATTCATCCTCACTGCAAGGAAGTCCTAAGTGGCATGTGAAATAAAACCAGCATGGATACTGAAGAGGAAGATTACTCCTATTAAAAAAAGAAAAGGCCACTGTATGACAAATCAAACAAGACAGTGCCTGCCTGTCTCCAGAAGTGTGTAAGAATCATAATTAGATTTCATGCAAAAGGGGAGTGGGGTTTGATTGGTTGCTATGTGTGGGTTTGTGCCTGTGTGTTGAAGTTCATTGTTCACATACAGGACCAGTCCCACTTCTCCTAGTGGAGGACAGTATCACCAAAGACAACATGTAGGGGGATAGAATATAAGAAAATAGATAGTGTAGGGAGTAATCTTACCCCTAAGGAGTTGCAGCTGGGCCAATTATCCAAGATTAGGAACAGGCCTGGCTTTCACAGGCCACAGCTGTAACCAGTGAGAAGAAGATGCTATAAAAGAGTGGGGTGGCTGGCTGAGAGGGGAACCGGAGTCAGTGGCTGCTTTGTGAAGGAGAAAGTGTCAGTGCTCTGAGGAGCTGCTTGTGAGAAGCACCCAGAAGGTATGGAACTTTTGTGATAAGGAGACAACAATGTGGAACCCTGCAATAAGATGACAACAACACCACACCATTTGCTTTCTGGTTTCTCATCTTCCTAGATTTTGCACACCTTGTGGAACTCCAGCTTTTGTCTTAATTTGACATAATGCACACCACTTTTTCTGCCTGGTTTTTACTTGGATTTCACTTTCCTGAGTCACAAGCTCAAGAAAATGAGGTTGATGGATTTATTTGATTCAAGAAACTAATCCAGTTGGCCTATATTCAAGCTATTAACTAGTAAAGATGAAAAAGTCTGTATTTAAGAATAAAATAGGGATGCAAGAATGGGTAAAATTCTCTTGTTACCTGGAAGGTAGTTGGGCCAGATAGTCTCTGTTGTGACTTAAGTAATCTTATTAATTAAATTCAGGTCAGAATTACAGGGTCTGTTAACAGTTGATGGATATGAAATTGTTTTCACTTATAAATAGGGAAATGATGGGAGATGTTTAAGCCTTAAGTGTGGCCTTGAACACTGAGGGCTGCTCTGAGTGAAAATCAGGGTGAGCTATACTAGAGTGAGCTGGAATACACCCACAGCTCAGAGAACAGGAGGGGATTGTTATGATTTAATGGTGAGATTGTCATAGATGCAAAACCACCAGGAATATAAGTCTCTGCTCTCCCATCTATCAAAACCATCCTGTTGTGTGAGTTACAAGGCTCTGTTGCACTTGCTGCTGCAAAATATTTTCCTCCCTTATTTGTTAGCAGCTGGAGGAAGAATTTCTGAAAGGAAAAAAATAAAATTTAAGCTTTCCTCTAGTTTGCAGGATTTGAAGCCTGTTTCTGCAGGACTGAAGTCGAGACAGGTGCTTAGATACCATGTGGCAAGTTGGGGAGGATTGGAAATTTCAGTTAGTGTTTGTTATAGCCATACCAAAACAATCTGTGTTGAAAGTGATTTTTTTTTTAAGAGAGGTTTTAAAGAAGTTTGTAGAAATTTTTTCCAAACTTGCCCTAAGTCCTTCAAGATAAAATTGTATTAATTAAGCATAAATTACATTTTATTAACTCTGTAGTAATGGTAGGAGTGTAGGACACTGAGAGGAACATTAGTAAAACTGATACGTAGTAATTGGTTTCAAAGCAAATTGAGTTTGTAAAGGTAGGTGCCAGGGTTTGGTGTGTAGAAAGTTTTTCTTGTTTCAGAAAACTCAGATATGTCACCTGATTTGCTGCAAGGTTTTGAGTGGAGGCTGGGGAACTGCCAGTAGTATTTTATTGGGACTCAGCCCATTCCATTTTTTAAAGTTTTTGTGGACTAAGAGGATATTCTGTGTTTTAAGTGATTCCAAACTACTGCATACCATTTTTTTAGAATAGTGGAAGTGACAGAAAAACAAAATTAATATGGAATTTCAGACCTTGAAGCCAAACAGAAGAAAATAAGATCCATTTAATTATAGAATTCACCTCCTCAATATAGGAAATCCTTGGTAAGCAAACCTTATCCTAAGAAAGCAAACCTTCAATGCATAAGCATATTTTTACTGTGACTTCTCAATATTTTTGAAATTATTGTCTACTATTTTGTCCATATTTACGGTTGGGGTTTTTTTCAATTTTCTCTTCTTATATATCATTGATCAGAGACCCAAGCACTGTTTTGTAGAAATGAGTTGTAAAAGCAGTCATGGAAGATATTTTTAAGAAATCTTGTGGTATGGAAATGTGCATTATTTATGTAGTTTTTCTAGAATTCTTTCCACTTTGCATTCAGTACTGTTTCACTCTGTGTGTTCTCTCAATTTGAAATTATACAGGGAAAAGCACTAACAAGTCCAAGTGTGATTCAGTCCCTAGGAGAGCAAAATAAGCAGTAAGATAATTTATGAGTAGGTAATAATTATTTACAGCAAAAAGTTAACACCTGGTTTGGCAATTTTCTTTCTTTTGCAGCCACAAGAGATGTTTAAAAGGATGGTGGTTTACAATTCATCATTTAGATCTAAGAAAAAACAAGTAAAATAACGTTTTCCGTGTTTTGTGTGGTACTTCTTGTTTGACTGATCATGGATTTAAAACTTTCCTTTCTAATTCTGTTTCTCAGTTTCTAAAACAGAAGATGCAAGACAGGCCTAGTGCATGAGTACTGCTGGTCTTTTTAAGCTTTAAGTGTGTGCCTGTGGCTCCAGCTAGGCTAGGCAGAAGAAGGAAAATAAATCCTTAAGGCTGAATCATCTGTAACTCCCTTTATGGTTAAGTGCAATCTTGAAGATAGTTGAATACTGGTATCTGATACTGATATTCCTAAGATTTCCTTGTTTCTTTTAGTGTCCAGCTGCAATGCTTTCAGTGATAAAATAATTTATCAGATTAACAAATAGAGCTATCATCATAACATAATTACTGGTAGAAAATTAGAACTGGTGGTGGAAAGCCTTGTTCATTCAGCCTTCCTGTATTGTGTAGGATTTTCCTGCTGCATTTTTGCTTTTGTTGCTTTCCTCTCTCATAATGATGAAGTTTTCATCTCTTTATCTTTGGTTGCCTGGTAGTTCAATAGATGGCTTCTTGAAGAGGTGAACTTTAGGCTAAACTTCTCCACTGCTATAAAATGTGCCAGTTTCTGTACAAACCCCCTTTGGTAGTGCATGCTAAGTTATATGCATTGACGTTATCTGAAAAGTTGGGACACATATTGAGCTCACAGTGTGAGATTGTGAGCGGTAAAACATTAAGATTAATAACAATTTTTTCTTCTTTTTAGTCAGTTTCAATCTATATCTAGAAGGGATAACTGACCAAGAAAGATCCAGCTTTGAGATTATTTATTTGCCAGTAAATGCCAGTATGTTCTGAATATATAACAATTGTGTTCTCAAAAGAGGTGTTTTTTTGAAAAGTTTGTTATTTCTTGTTGTGAGTTTCTCTTTCAATTATTTTTTGTTGTTGTAGTTGCTTGGGGTTTGTTTGTTTGTGGTTTGTTGTTGTTATTTCTGGTCTCAATTGCTCTCGACTATTGTTGTTAGAAACCAGTGAAGCAGTATCATTAGTATAAGTGCTGGTGTTTTGGAGGTTGTTTTTTCTTTAAATAGCGACTTCAGCTTTCACCTTGAAGTCCATACAGAGTTGTTTCAATGCAATCAAACATTTTAGTGTTCCATTTTCAACTTATGCTCAGTCCCCTGAATGTTTTTGTAAGTCAAAAAGGGATTTAAATGCTCCAAACTCTTTCACCTGAAACATCCTGAGTGGTGGGAGAATAGGCTTAGGACTGTGCTTTCCACTTGGTTTTCCTTGGTTCATTCATCCCTGCTTGGATATGGAGTGCACTCTCTGATCTCTGAATTTGTGGTGTCCATTTCAGGGAAGGTTTATTGCTGTTCAGTGCATGTCTTCTTTCTGTCTTAGCAATATTTGTACATTATTGGATTCAGATCATATCTCTGATACATAGTGACATGAACCCAAGGGGAAAAAGTTTAGGTTGAGTATTAGGAAATGGTTTTTCACCCACAGGGTGGTTGGGCACTGGAAGAGGCTCGCAGAGGCACCAGCCTGACAGCTCAAGAAGTGTTTGGACAGTGCCCTCAGGTGCATGGTGTCACTCTGTGCAGGCCAGGAGTTGGGCTTGGTGATCCTTGTGGGCTCCTTCCCACTCAGGATATTCTGTGTTTCTATGACTTCTGCTTGCAGATTGTTTTTTTAGTGATTTTTAAAATTTTTATTTTGTGTGTTTGTTTTTGTGGAGTTTTTTTTTGTTTTTTCCTGTTTAAAGATTATTTTCCCAGGGAAACTTCCTTCAAGGGCAACATCTGTTTTTCATGAGGACAACCTGGGACAAAGAGTTCACTGACTTCCTTTAGATTACATAATGACTTAGTGACTTGGCTGAGATTGGAGTTGTCTTCTCTAAATTACTTGCTCCAAACCCATAGCTATCTACTTTACCATGATTCCAAAAGGCAGTACTAATTCAGTTATTCAAAGTATTAATTGTTTGGGTAGCTTTCATTGCAAAATACTTCTCTTACAGTTTTACTTAAATGGTTCATAATATTAATACACTTTGTAAACTAATGAATGATTGATTGAAGTTTTTCCCCCAGGATGAAATTCTGTCCTTGCTGATGTCTGTGATGAAATTCCCATTTATCTGGTTAACAAATGTAATGCAGTGTAACAAACTTAATGTAGGGCAGTACTGTTATGGGTGAGATCAGAGCCCAGAAGGTTCACAGTCACATCAAAATTAGGCAGCCAGAGGAGGTGATCAAGAGTATAGCAGAGGAAGCATTAGTATTTTCTGCTGCAACTTTGCCATTTAACAGCCAGCCCTTAAATACACCAAAGGAATCTTAAGCTTTGTGTTTGGTTTACAAGTGGAAAGAGGCTTAGGTGAGTCTGGCAGTGGAATAGTCTTTGCTATTGAATGGATCCAGTAGAAAAGAGACAATAATGAGTATATTAACCTTTATCATAGACTGAACCACTGGTCTGTGTAAGGTATTGGCTTGCTTGCCATGTCTGCAAGGGGTTGTGTGGTTCTGTGTTCCCCTGTCCCCAGCTCACTGCAGCTCCCATGAGAATGGGAGCTGGGTGCCTCAGTAAAGATTTTCAGAAGTTCTGAAGTCCTTACTTTAGCATTCAGGGTTAAGTGCAGAGCTTTCATAAATCCCCAGCACAGGCCATACAGTCTCACCCAGCAGCTACTAATCCTTCTCAAGAAACTGCACTCAAACACCATTGACTCCCGTCCTTGCAGAAAAGGTAACTCCTGCTTTTCCCTGCAGTCTTGGTCTGACAAGGGTTAAGCACTACATTTTGTGAGTCCCCTCAAAGTTTAAAAATCTTGCTGTGCCTAACTGCAATATTATCTTCTGCATTTCAGACATTTTCTGACAAAACTTTTAAGTTCTCCACAGAAGTATATGAAAACAAAAATCATATTGTTGTCCTGCAAACTGTCTAACAAATTGTTGTCCTGCACTTGCCTGTGGTATGAAGCCAACTCCCTGAAACTCAACATCAAGAGGGAGAGAAGGGGTCTGAAAAAGAATCCTAAAACCCAGACAGAGTGGAGTAGTGTTGCTGACTACTGTGTATTGGAGCCTGTCATTTTCACCTGTTACCATCCAACATGTTGATAATCTCAGGAAATGTTGCTCCAAACATTGTGGCAGAGCATATCTGCTCATGGTGCTTTCAAGATTTGTTTCTGTTCTGCCAGGTGTAGAGAGGAACTATGGAGCTCATAAGTGGTAACTCTTCCTCTGAAATGCTCTGTTATATGACCAACTCAAATTATTGATCTGTCATGAGGTTTTGAAATGTCTTCTGACTGTCAGGATGGACTCTTTGCTGTCTCTCTGGACTTTTCTTCCTTTTCTGTCTTCTTTCATAGCTTACAGAATTACATGTTCTCTCACTAACAAGATGGAATTTCTGTGTTAAGTGTGTGAGTTGCTAGTTTTGCAATTAAATATCATTTTATTCTCAGGGCTTCCAGAAGTATGTGGAAGATTTTGATCCATATTCAATGGTAAGGAGAGAATTTTAATGTGCTTCACTGTTTAATATTAAATATTCTGGAAAAAAAAAAAGCCAAATTCTTGATTTTGAGGACTCGGAGTAAGTAAAATTCTTGCTTATTGCTTTTCTGGGTCTTGTGTATTTGTTTTTTCTGGTCATGTTGAACAGAAGCATTCTTACAGAAAAAGGTGATGTGGTGTTCTGATCTCCCTCTAACACTATTTTAGAAAGGGGAAAGTTCCCTTTACCCCCAGAAATTACATAGATCAGCTTAATTGTTTTGTCTTTCCAAAGTGGAAGTGATTAATCATTATATCTTTTCACAGTTTACCCCAGACCAGATTATAGGAAAAGATGTACGGCTATTACGAATAAAAAAGGTAATTACTGTGTTGGTTGATTGATATTTAAAGAGTTCATGTAAGCATTTGATGTACAGCATCATTTACTAGGAAGAAGGAAAGATATTAGGCTCCTGTTAATGGCAAAAGTAAACAGACTTCTCTGAACTAGAACTGTTTTTTTTCATAGGAAGGATCACTGGACCTTGCAGTTGAGGGAGGAATTGATTCTCCAATTGGAAAGATAGTTGTGTCTGCCATCTATGAGGACGGTGCTGCAGATAAACATGGTGAGCAACAATGGGGAGTTTGAATGCTGCTGAAAAGTGTTCCCTTACACTGGTTGAGAATGGTTGGCTGATTTCATTATCTGGTACTGAAATGCTCACTTAGTTTGCCCAAGGACCCAAGTTCTGTCTCAAGTTTAAGGGCAGCCCACATGTGTTGCTAAAATTAATAGTTATGTAAAATTTGTGAATACCAACACCTGATTCTCCGGTGTATTCTTTAGTCAAGGAACGTGTTCTCCATTATTTCACAAATTCTAATGACATTTGTAATACTTCCACATGCAAAACCATTACCTGACCATAGCTACACTGCGCTGCTTAGGTTTGTTCTTTATGCTGCTATAAATAGTAATTTGCTAGTTAAGTAGCTGGCTGTTAAAACCCCAACTAAAACCCAACTTGAGCCTCTGAAGCTTAGCTCTTGAAGGCACAAGAACATGCTTACCACTTCATGTGGACTTTGCACCTGGTGGGAAGTATCTGCCATCCTTTTCTTGAGAGCTCTTGTCATGACCAGGTCAACAGAGAGGGCAATATTCCCTTACACTGTCTTTGCTGTCCTTGTCCCAGCCTGCACCTAAGTTCAAGTTGCTGTGAAAACATTTCAGTCATTTGATGTCCTCAGTGCACTTTTTGGTCCTTCACTCTTTTTAGGACCTCTCATAACTAAGGCTGTCCTCTTATCATCCTCTTCAAATCCAGTTCTGGTTAACTGGTTGTGCTTCGTTCCAGATTGGCAAGTCAAAATCAGTTCTAAGGAGCAAACGCTACACCATAGACTTGCAAAGAAATGACCATCATGAAAACCCTTGACAAATGCCATTTTATTTCTTCAGGAATTTAATTAATTTTGCCATTTTTATGGACTCATGGAATTTTTGGGGTTGGAAGAGACCTTACAGATGATCCAATTCCAAGCCCCTGCCATGGACTGGGACACCTCACCCTAGACCAGGTTGCTCAAAAGCCCATCCAACCTGGCCTTGAACATTTCCACAGGGTTGGGGCATACTAGTAAAGTTCTGCAGTCAGTCACAGTTTGTAAGCTGTATAGCTGGATTACCTAAACAGGCAAACTGTAGAAAATGATATTGAACTAGTTTCTTACTGGTCATGATCAATAAGAGATTAGTTTGGCTTTGGCATGCTTAAAAATTCCTTTTGTGTTTGCCTGTGCCAGACTTCCTACAATTTTTAGTGCAGACCTTTGCATCCAGTGAGAACACTTTTCATTACAGTCACTACTGCACAATTATGGCACAGAAGAGGCCCCAAGAATTTTTTTTTTTTTTTTTGCTTATGTGTATTTGACACATTTGTCTTTTCCCCAGGAGGCATAGTGAAAGGGGATGAAATACTGGCTGTAAATGGCAAGATATTAATTGACAGCAAGCTGGCAGAAGCACAGGCAACTCTAGCAAAAGCTTGGAACATGGGTGGGGTAAGTAACCTGGAATGCTACTTTATTCTACCTACAGAGCTCATATCAGAGCTGCTTCTCTGACAATCATGACATTGTCACCTCAATACAAACAAGGTTACAAACGTGAAAAGTAGTGGGTACATGAGGTACTCCCAAAGTAAGCTAGAATCTGCAGAAGACGTTGGTATGTAGCATCTCTGAAAACCATGTGTGTAATTTACTGGGAAATTTGATGGTGTTTAGCCACATGTCAAGATTGGTATTTAAACACATTACATTCTTTGTGTTTCTAGTACCTTTGCATGTAAAATCACTCTTTGATGTTGAAAATTACTTCCAAGTTGATTGGAATTTTCTGATAATAGCTTGTCTTTGATTTCTTGATGTACAAGCAACATTACCCTTCAGCTACAGTGAGTGTTTCCACAGCAAGAAATCTTCTCATTGCTCAGAGGACTAATACAGGATGATTGTTAAAATAACTTTTTTTTTAAATGTTGTTGCAACAGTAGATTTTTCTTTAATTTCAAGATACAAATCAAACAGCTCAATCTTTAAATGGTCTACCAATAGAAGTTTTTAATACAGACCTTACTTCTTCTCCTTATGGTTTTCCAGGAATAGATAACCTCCTAGATTCTCTGACATTCCATGGTGGTGCACTGGCCACCTCTAAAAGCAGTATTTAGTGGCAGATGTTTACCTCTGCTTTTCTTTTTCAGGATTGGATTGACTTAGTCATTGCAGCATCACCTCCAAAAGAATATGATGATGAAATGTAAGTGCATAAGCTTTTTTCTCTGGGGATTAAAAGCTGAGTAACAATAGCCAGTTTGCTTTTTTTGTCACACATTTTTCAATTATCTTCTTCTTCTTATGAACTATATAACCTTCTTCATTACATGGTTGCTAATTTGATAGTTATAAGTAGATGTCATGCATTACAGCAGTGGTTCCCAGACTGCAAAACTGTAATTCTCAGAATTGGTTGTACATGACTACACACTCATACTTTAAGTTTAAAGTTTGAGGATTTGGGGTTTGTTTTTTCTTTAGAAGTTCACTTAAATTCAGTCTGAGTCATTTACTACATTCCCATAGATCATAATTTAGGGAAACAAATCCCTGTAAACATTCTGCATCACAACCAGACATTTAATTCTATTGTTTGGTTTGGTTTTGTTGTTTTGTTGTGTTTTTTTTTAATTAGATTGCAGTTATTGTTCTTGTCTAAGCAAGCATATATAATATTTTCAGAAGAGATTAAGGGGTTTGGGTGTCTTGGCAATGCTCACAGGATCCTTGTTTTAAAGATAATCAGCACAGGTGTGAAACAGAAGAATCTACAGCTACAAGTGTGTTAGAGGTATCAGGATTATACAGTTTGCTTTACTTTGGACAGTTTCAAAAGCAAGACCCATGTTTTCTAGTTTGATTGAGGGAGATTTGAAGATATCCTTACTACCAAGTAAGATGGCAGAGCAAGGTTTTGTAGTCACTGTTAACCTGGGCTCTTGCTCTGTGCAGAGTACTGGAGTATTAGGTGCTGTAAATCAGTTTTACTGCCTAACACCAACTGTAGATTGATGTGAAATTTTGTTTAATACCTGTGCATAAACTAATGGGCAAGAAAATAACTATTATTTTTGTTTTTATATTTTGTGTATTTAGCCCTACCATTCCCTCCTCAGCAGTCAGTCCCAGCACACACAGAAAGGTTTTTGAAGGCAGTGCACCTGTGTACAGACAAGGGTATCTCCTGCAGCTGTAGCCACTGCAGTGTCCCTCATGGTGAATAGCACACCTGGCTTAACATGACTGGCCATTGTGAGGCTGTGTTATTTTTTCAGCATGTGCCTGCCTGTGCATTGCTTGCCATCCTTGGTTTTGTTCCTGGCATGCTGGAGCTGGAGTGTTCTTTGGGCTTTTGCCATGCCTGTGCTACTAAAATATAAGTATTTAGTTTCTACTTCATAAAGTCCCTCAGAGATGCTCTGCAGAATTGGTTTATCACCTGCCAGACTATTAAATAAATAGGCCCTTTCTAAAGAAGTAGGATTAACCTAAGGTTTTGTTCCTTATCTGTGGACCACTGCTATGTCTTTGTGCGTTCATCAGTATATAAGCAACTATAAATTATTTTCTTGTGAAGGCTTGTCCAAAGAACAAGTTTCCATTTGGATTATTCAGTGTGCCTGTAAACAAGTATTCATGAGTGTTTGGTTTCAGTGAAGTTTGTTTTTTTGTCATATACCTTTATAATGGGTTTGTTCTGAAATTACCCTTGTCCCTGAAATTTAGTTTACCCTGGTTGTATGGTTTCTCTGTGGCTGTAATCACTGAGAGTACAGTCACAGATCTCTAGAACTACCAAGGTAAGATTTCTTGTTGCATGTGGGTCTTCTCAATTATTACTTGTAATACAAATCAAAACTACTTAAGTTCCAGTTTAAAAACTGTGCTTACTAGAAAGATTAAAAGCTGCACAAGAGCTAACAGCATGTTTCTCATTATCTTTTTTTCCCCCCCACAGGACATTTTTTTAAGGAAGACTACAAATCTTGAAATGGAACCTCTTCTCACCAGAAATCTGCTGCTCTGTAAATTAATAGGAAATCAATAACCATGTGAAATGTATCTTTATTGACTGACATGTAAATTGAACTAGAGACATCAGGTTCTTCAGATAACTTGAATAATTTATTATCATTCTATAGACATACAGCAAAACTTTTTTTGCATGATGATTTAAAAGAACTGCTGACCAGCATAGTTCAGACTGTGAACACTCGATCTTATTTGCTATTTTGAGGGGCCAAATTTTGCATCTTTCAGTTTTCCTGGAAATAGATTCTAAAATGACAAATGAAGATAGAACACAGATGTCTGTTCCCACATGGAACACTTGTGAATACACATTCACGGGCCAGTTTGGGTGTGAAAAGAATTATATTTTTACTTCCTAGATAGTGATTTTCATGGGGAAAATGAGAAAGTACGCAGGTAACTTCTGTTCTCATATGCTTTTAGCTTTCTTAATATCCATTTTTATGTCTCAGTTGTGAGGGTTTTTTCACCATAAAAACCCTGCTGGTAAAAGAACTGGGAATACCAGGAATGCAAGCATTAAAATCAAATAATTTTGGTTGTGTTGCTCATACAGTATGGAAGATCTTCTGCAGCAGCAGAGTAAATAACTAGCAAGTAGCTTAGATAAAATCATTATGTGCAGTCACATCCATACTCCCAAGTATTTGTATTGTTGGCAAAAATTCCTCCCTCATCTAGTCATGGGTGGGAAATTTGGGTGTGATTCACAGTCTGCTGTTTTGTACTTTGTTCTCAGTGAGCCTATATATGTGACTAAACTGTGCAGGAAGCCACCAAGTGTAACTTTCTGCTCTTGGTGACTCTGTGCCTTAGATTTAAGTAAATTCCTCAAGACCATAAAATTGATGTTTTGCTAGTGCTTGGTTTCAAGTACTATTATAGTTGTAGACTTAGTAAATATATTATAGAGACACCTCATAAGAAATGTCATGGTCTTTTTCCTTTCTTGCACCTGCCAGCTTGTGCTGTGTTTTCCATGTTGTGTTTAGATTTTTCTCACCTGTTCTACTGAGAGAGACAGTTCATTGGCATATCATTTTCCCACTGAAGTCTTGCCTTTCCAGGGTTTGGAGCCCTCCTCTTCTCCAGCATATAAAAATAACAATTAAATTCATGAGAACTCTGGACTTATATGCAGATGCTTACTTATGTTGACTTTATTTACAGTATTCTTCCAGTATGCCAATTAATGTGTGTGTCACGGTACATATGTTAGAATATTTAAAATGTTGGACTCTTACAGCTAATCCAGAAATAAAATTGCATTTGCCAAATGGAAGAAGTCTATTTTCCTATTTGTCTCTGGGTTTGTACATCATAGTAATAGTTAATCTGCTAAAGTACACAGATTTCTGAATTTTTCTTCAATTACAGACCCACTTGGAAGAGATTGCCACCCTTGTGGAACTTGTAATTCACTCTGCACAGGAGGGAATTTTCCCTTAGCTGAGCTGCAGTAATCTTTTACAGAGTTTTTTGGGGGCAAATCTGGTCATTTGACAGCTGGCAAGCTACCACAGTTCCTGCAGTGTATTTTTTTGCTAGGTCTTAGCATGCATCTACCCAGGCCTGTAGACTTCCTAACTACAAAGTAATCTAAATGCTGAATGCATCAAGATAAGCACCAGAAGGAAATTGCAGCTGCTTTGGTTCCCAGTTGCCTACATACTGCAGCCATCTGGACCGCATGACAATGCATCAGAGAGACGAGAGGTGCTATCCAATGTTCTTCCAAGGGCTGCTTGGATGGCTGTACCAGCAAACAGAGAGCCACAGTAATGCACCAGTAAAGAACTTGAGTGCTTGATTGTGCAAAACACTGTCTCAGCACACTAAGAAACATAACAAAACTCAGAGATTAGATATTAGAAATATTTCTATTGGTGTTATTTTTTCAGAGACAGAAGGAGCACAGAAGACTGAGCTGGGAAATCTGTGGGAGTACCAGCAGTTGAGTTGTAGCCTTGCTTCTTCATCACAGAACTATGTTTCTTCTCCCCATCTCTTCTCCCCATCTACCCTGTTCACTTGATTTGCTTGGATACAGCTTAAAATGCATGAGAGGCAGTTGAGGAAATAGTTCCTGCTCAATATTCCAGGTATGTTAAGAAAATGTTGCTTTGAGGGTTTAACCTGTGTTGCTTTAGGCAATATAAGTATGTAGTGTCAGGAGAAAAGAGCCTGTCACTTCTGCAATCTTAAAATGGTCTTAAGCCATTAGCCAGGTAGTTTTTTACTGTATTTCTGACTTTCAGTGCCCTAGAACTTCATCCCATCTTTCATTTGCCAGCTAGCTCAAGGGGTTGGAAAATGCTACAAGAAAATACATTTTTCAGGCAACTTCTCTTTCAGTTATTTTGATGTGTGTGAGCAGTGTCCCAGGTGTAAGTAATTTAAACAGGAGTGCCCATTTTGAGTTGGAGCTGCATTGTTCTTTGGTGGCTGTCAGTCATTACTTGTGCTTGTGCCTCATCCCTGTTCAAAAAGACCAGCTTTGAAAAGGTAACAGTAAGAGTAAATGGGACTTTCTCTTGCTCAGCCAATGCTGTTTCCTTTGGGAGTATGGAAACTGTGACCTGCTGCACAAAGCAGGAAGAAGTCCAAGTACTTCACTGACAGTATCATGAATGCTTCAAACCACTTTTAAGAGAAGATGGTTTTTTGTTTTTCATTTGCTGTAATCTCAGAGGGGATATGTGTAGTTTCTCAGAGCTGTTTGTTTGGTTAAGACCGCCAAACCGCACTATCTCTCTCTATGGGATAATAACCCAGAGGAAGACTTTCTCAGAACTGTTAACAACCATTCTTATTCTCTCAGGAATTTCTTGGCCACGTTTTCTTTAGCAACTCCCCCACAGCTGCTGAACTGGAGTATGAATTACACTAGAGACTTGTGACTCTCACATTGCTCTGTGAGCCTGTGCGTGCCTGTGTGCAGGCAAAAAATGTGAGACCCTATGGATCAGAACCATGGCGTGCATTACAGGATAGGAAATACCATGGTTTATTACTCATATGGAGGTTAGCATAGGGAGGTCTTTGATCTATTTATTACTGCCATTCTGCTAATTCATAGTTTTGTTACTATTTATTATGTGGCCATGGCATCTTTTAGAAATTGTGCCTACATTTCAGAGAAGCTAGGTTTTTTAAAAAAAATTCTCTATTCACAAACAAATGTACAACGTAAGGAGGGGTGTATGCATGGATATACACCAGTAAGGTTTTTTTTAAATCAACTTAATCTGAGGAGCACACATGTACAAATAATCTTAGCACTTTACAAATATGAGACATAACCTCTGAATATATAGCATTTGTTGTAATTCCTCTCACCATAAAAAGAAGAGTGAAATATCATGGCTTTGTGTCAAAGGATGCCTATCAGGTTGTAAGGAGCTTGATATGCAATCATTGATAAATGTCCTCATGTTTGCTTCTGCTGTATGTTGACCCTGATAAAGTGTGGTCAGATTTTGGGGAGCTGCTGTGGAATTCTTAGCCATCTTTCACCACAGAAAAATCCCCCTGGGATCTCTGTTGATATGAATGGACTCCTTTACACCATGTAAGGACCAGGTCTAGTGGAGAAAAGCCAGTGTTTTAAATGTAAGTATGTGACCCTTAGGATTATAAATCAGTGGGTCTCTTGTAGTCAAGTGATGATAAACTAATAAGTGCTTGATCCTCATACTGAGTTTGACCTTCAGTGTTTTTCTGCTGCCAGTTTTATCTTTTGCCATTGCCCTTGATCTCACAAGGTTTCTGCTTTTATGACTGATGGAAATTTCTGGAACAGATTTCAAAATTGTTTTTCTGCAGGCTTGAGCTCTGAGGTGGTTCCAGGTGGGCCATTCACAGATCATGCAAACTTTTTTAAGGACTTTGACTAGGATGCTTGCTTTCCTTCTTCCTAGGGAAGGCATACAAAGGTTTGCCTCTGCTGGAATAATGGGGGCCTCTGCTGGAGTTCTTCTTCCTCTATCACTAGGTTCACATTTGATGTATTATTAAAGGACACAGATAATAGCACAACACTTTGGTGAAATTCAGGGTCTACTTATATTTAACTGCTTTTGGTCTCTGCTGAAATAATCTAGGATGAAAGAGGAAGCGGAGACAGACATAGGAAAAGCAATCTATAAAATTTCTGTTCTCTAGAAGGGAAGTTTTTGAAATGTGAAGTTTCAGAGGATCACTGCTTACAGTTCTCCAAACTGTGATGATTGATGCATACCATAATATCAATGATTAGTGTAAAAGCCACTGGAAGGAAGTCTTAAGGAATTCATTTTGAATAAGTAAGTTACAGACTGACAGCTCTTGGATATGTAAGCCTGAAGGGCTGTTGTTGAACTCAGAATGTTACGTGGAAAAAAAGGGAGTCTGATGTCCTGCAGAGAGCTACATCATGATTCACCAAACCTGCTGAATGATTAGCAATGGGTATCCCTTGCACACCTGCACTGTGCTTGGTGGATGTTTGGCACTTAGCAATCGTAGACTAGAACAAGCAAGGCACCTAAGTACATGCTTAAATTTAAGCATATGAGCTAATCCCATTGACATAGGTAGAGTTCAATAATCCTCCTCAGGCTGGATTTTGCTGGATGGAGGCCTGAAGTCAAAATCTGAAGGCACTTGATGCCTTAATCCTTGATGTGTTTAGTATGGAAACTTGTTAATGCTCAAGTTCTACTATTCATACTGAATTTTAGTTCCTCCTCATTTTCTCAAATAATCTTCAAAGGTTATTCCTCCCACCAGCTCCTACTGCCCATTTTCTTGGCTTGTCCTCATCTTATCTTTTCTCACCATTTCTCTTCCAAACATCAGTAAAACTCATTATCCTTCAAAACTATAACAGAGTTTGTTTGTATGGTCCTTAGAGTAAAGTTTAAGAGAAGGAGACTGAGACTCTCCCAACATAAACTGGCCAAGATAGAAATCAGACAGCCTGTTTGAGGACAAGGACTTTTCTAAACAGTAAGGATGTGAGAGGGAAAGTTGCTAATGGTTATTCTTTATGCAAAGCCAAACACACACATGTAAAACCAAGAGAGTTTCAAAATACTTTTTCTGAAATTTGGTTCTCTTTTCTCTGCCTTTCCCCTAAGCAGTTCTGCGTACTTTAGCACTGGGACCCCATGTTCATGTTGGCAACAGCCTGAGGCTCTTGAGGATTAAAGCCACTTAACAGAGAGCAAAAAACACCAGCTATAAAACATTTTTAGAAACACTCCAGAGAAAATTAAGCTTTGACAAAAATCTTGCAATAAGGATTTCCCTGACAGGGTGAAATAACTTTCCAGGGTTATCATTTGAAACTAAGTAGATTATAAGTTTGCAAATATCAATATTTTTGTTATTCTTTCTTCCCCCAAGTACAAAATGTGGAATTTTATGAGTGGAGAACACCCATTAACAGTTTTTAATTACCAGCAAATCCAGCCTCAAGGAAGGACAAAGGGAAAGAAAGAGAAATGCATGTTCCCATTTTAACTATTCACAAGCAATTGTGGTGAAGCAGCTCTCTGAATGTTATTAACCTGCTAGGACAGAAGAAATTGCATACTCTTCCTCAGTGGAAATCAGGCAGCTCCATCTTAATGTAGAAGAGTGACATGAACAGCAAGAATCCAGACTGAGGACACAAAAGTCTTTTCTCCAACTAATGTATAAATTTCTCATCAGTCATTTCAGAATTTGCAGGTGGGTGCAACATAATTTATAATGTTGTTTTTCTTCTTGGAGAATTTGATTGCAACAAATTTCTGTTAACACTCATAGGGCTGATTGAAACAGAGGTTGTGGGCATATTTTGTGGTTGGATGATTCACAGAGGAAAGTAAATTGTGTGTATTAAGTTGCAGTAATTTGTCCCATATTGTACTGCTGCAGGAAAGCTGTTTCTTTGTTGTCAGCTGTGACAATATTCACATTTCTTTACGTCTAGCCAGATAAACAAATGCAGAGATGGGTTTTTATTTTCTATTATGCCATTGAATTACACCAGGAATAGTATAACTTCTCAAGGAAGAAGATACTTGGTATTGCCTTTTCTAAAGGTGTCTTAAACCCATGTTGTACCTGTTGAAACAGATGTTTAAAATACCATAGTAAACAGATGGAGAAAAGTGGCTAGATTTATAAATGACACAAAGGGATAAAATAGTTACCCCTTCTTTGCACTAGGACAAGTAAGTGACTTTTATAAAAGGAATATCACCATTTTCCTAAGTAGATAGCATCTGAGTATGAAATCTCAAATATTCT